AGGCCAAGGGCTCAGAGAGAGCAGAAAGGAAGCCACTCAATTTTGCCATTACTAAGTGATGACTTTAGTCAGAGCCATTTCTGGAGTGCACTGGTGGCTAAGAGCAGGCAGCAGAGGATGGGAAATGGGAGGTGAAAAATAAAGGCAAAAACCAGATTCCTCTCTTAAAGAAAAGAGTATAAGATGGTAAGTGTGAACAGTGTGGCAAGATTTAGAACTGCTGTTAAGGAAAGGAGGATTTCCTGTCCTCTATAAGATTCTAGAGGCAGCTGCTGTAGGATGGGCTGCAGGCAACAGGGACTGGTGACAGGCTGAGTGGAGAAAGGAGGCGTACAACACTGACCAAGAGGATGAGCAAACTGTGGTACACCATCCAGCAGAACACGATCCCGCCCTGGGAAGGAAGGGAGCACCCACTCCTAACCAAAGTAGGGACTGACACATGCTTCAATCTGGATAAATGCAAAACATGCTCTGTGAAGGAATCCAGTCACGAAGGACCACACAGCATGTGCTCCTATTTCTGTGAAATGTCCAGAAGAGGCCAATCCTCAGAAACAAAAAACTGGCTGCCAGAGGCCAGGGAAGCAGAATGAGAAGGGCCTGCCTCATGGCACAGGGTCTTCTTGGGGTGATGAAAATGTGTTGGAACTAGATAGAAGTGGTGGCCACACAACACTATAAATGCTCAATTAAACGCCACTGAACTATACACCGTAAAACGATTAAAAGCAACTTTTACGTGTATTTTATCTCTCACACACACACACACACGCACATAAGCACACATGTACACATACACACAAACCAACCTGAGGTGACAAGAAACATGGGCAGCAAACAATCAGGGCAACCCTAATTCAGGCTTCATCACTTTGGAGTCATCAAGAGGGGCTAAGTTAGGCTACTGAAGAAAATAATTTCATACAGTTCAATCTAATATATCCTCTCTTAAAAGACAACACACTCTGTGCAACACTAAAAGACTGCTGTCACTGTTGATACCAGATATATCAAACACTTCTGCTGCTCATAATCCTATCTGATCCTGGCTATTGCCCTTCTCTCCACCTAAAATGAAAAAGCCAACTTGGAAAGGAGACCTAATTTTAGTTGGAGCCAGGAACAGTGGTGCATGCCTGAAATCCTAGCAACTTGGGAGGCCAAGGCAAGAGGATCACAAGTTCCAGGCCAGCCTTGGCAATTTAATTAGACTGTGTCTCAAAATAAAATATAAAAAAGGCTTTGGAAGGGCTGGGGCTGTAGCTCAGTGGCAGAGCACTTGCCTAGCATGGGTGAGGCACTGGGTCCGATCCTTAACACCACATACAAAAAAATAAGCAAATAAAATAAAGGCATGCTGTCCATTTATAACTACAAAAAATTCCTTTTTTAAAAAAAGGGTTATGGATGTGGCTTAATGGTTAAGTGCCCCTGGGCTCAATCCCTGGTATAAAAAACAAACAAAACAAGAAACACCACCCCCACAAAAGAAGGTCTGGGGATACATCTCTGTGGGTAGAGAGCCCTGGGGTTCAATCCCCAGTACTTCCCCGCCACCCCACCAAAAAAGTTTTAGCTGGAGAGAACTGTCTGATAGAGAAAGCAGGCCACACAGAATGCACACAGGTGGATTGTTTCTGGCTTAGCCAGCTCCTTTCCAGAGGACTATGGATAAGCAGTTGATTCCCCTCCAATTGCAAAAGTACCCCCTTTACGTAGCTCCTCGGCAGTCAGGTTTCTAATGCAGAACAACAATGGCTACTATCACTCTCCAACTTTTTGTTTCTTTACTTGTTTTTTGGCATGATACTAGGGATTGAACTCTGGGCTCTGCAGATGCTGGGCATGTAATCCTAGCTCCTCAGGCAGGAGGATTGCAAGTTCAAGGACAGCCTGGTCAACTCAGCAAGACCCTATCTCAAAACAAAATAAAAACTGCTTTGGATGTAGCTCAGTGGTACAGTGCTTGCCTAGCACACATGAGGCTCTGGCTTCAATCCTCAGCAACACACACACACACACACACACACACACACAAACGTTTTGAAAGTATAGAGCCTAATGAATTAATTTTCTATAAACTAAGGGTGCTTCTAAGTTATTTTAAGTGAATGAGTCTCACTTGGAAAGTCAAAGGTCATGTTTTCTCTTCTATGTGGAGGTTAGAGAGAAAATAGGGGGAAAAGGGCAAGGTAACTCTTGAAAATAGAAAGGATACCAAATGAATAGAGGAAGGGGACCAGGAGAGGGAAAGGGGAGGAACTGGGGAATGAACTTGACCAAATTACATTATGTGCATATATGAGTATGTAACAATGGATCTCACTAATATGTATAATGCACCAATGAAAAAGATAAAAGATTAATAAATAAACAGGAGATTCTCTCTACTCTTTTAAAATATATTTGTATCAATAATAATCTATAATGGTTTCTGGTAATCAGTATCACTCTCCTCATTCTCTATCATCAAAGCTATTGTTTTATTTCACACCCACCTGTCTTTTTTGAGTTAAATATTACAAAAGGAAGTCACTTTCTTAGCTGGTCCTTATAGGTATTATTTTCTAACACCCTGCAAAATAACTGATTTTCAAATTATTAATCACAAAACCTTTTCAGTATGAAGCTACCTGAAACCCCTCTTGTGAAGAGAATAGAGCTACCAGGATGCAAAGGAGCTCTGGAAACCTCTGTCCAAGGAGTCACGGGGTCTCCTGAGCTCCTTCTAGCACTAAGCAACAGAGACAAGCAATCTGTCAGTCCAGTTAAGCTCAAAACATAAGAGGATGATCTCTTGTTCTCAGATTTATGGAATCTATTCTTTCTAACAAGATATTAAATGAAATGAGAAAAAAAAAAGGAGAAGGGAACAGACTCAACACTTGACTGAAATCCTTCTCTTCAATCTGTCAGTCCAGTTAAGCTCAAAACATAAGAGGATGATCTCTTGTTCTCAGATTTATGGAATCTATTCTTTCTAACAAGATATTAAATGAAATGAGAAAAAAAAAAGGAGAAGGGAACAGACTCAACACTTGACTGAAATCCTTCTCTTCCAAGTCTTGGTGGACACACTGGTATTTAAATGTCAAATGTTTTAGATGTTCTAGCTAGTGCCAGGAAAAAAAGAACCTCTGCTGGTTAAAGGGCTACTATTTTTCATGAACTCCAATTTCTCACACGCTGATCAAAAGACATGCACTGACTCTACATAGTCAACACACTTTGATTCTTTTCCAGATCCAAATCAGAAGATGACATGTATCTCTTGAAACTATTTGCTGAATAATATTGAGCAAATGCTTATGTTCCCTGTGGTTCCATTTCCTCTTTCATGAACAGGATAACATTAGTGCCCCCATGCAGAATTGTGGTAATGACTGAGATGATAGCTGTCATCTATTTGTGCCTGCCACACAGTAAGAGCCTGTAAAGCTACTATCACCAGCACCAGCACCAGCATCACCATCTTGGGCTCTGGAGAGACATGGCACTTCTTGTATGACATGAGAAAACTGTGGAATGCTATAATGAAGACTTTAAAGGACTTAGTGCTGGAAGGAGCTCAGGAGACCCCGTGACTCCTTTAAAGTCTGAAATCAACTCTCCTAAAAATGTTTTCACCACAAACTGCACTGTATCAATGAGCACTCAATACAATGACCCCAAATTCCTCCATCCCAAGTGAAAATTAACGTTTGCAAGACACAATGGGGAAAAAATTCTTTTTCCCTTTGTATTATCAAAGTAAGAATGAATGACTATACAAAAAAAGTCTCCTAAAAAATTTAAAGCTCCTGCTCTGAAAGCAGAAGTGACTAACAATTCAACACTCTGATTTGACTGTTAGCAAGGAATACAAAGCAGAATACAGCGTCCTTTTTTTTTTCTTAATACTTTTAATTGTAGATGAACACAATACCCTGGTGCTGAGGATCAAACCCAGTGTCTCCCACATACCATGAACCACAATCTCTGCCCAGACTACAGCATCCTTTATAATCAATTTTGTTCCCATGGCTAATCAACTTCTGTCAGGAACCTCTGTAATTTAAATATAGAAGCAAATGGCTATATATATCCATTTTATATATATATATATATATATATTATATATATATTATATATATATATATCTCAAATGCACACTAGTGCACACATATTCAATTTCATTAGGAAATGCTTGAACAATTCTTGAAAAGCAGAGTTCTATTTAAAATCAACTGTCAACTCTCCCACAAAAATCCAAATTCTTTTTTTTTTTAAGTTGTAGATAAACACAATATCTTTTTTTTTTTTTTTTTTTTTTGAGAGAGAGAGAGAGAAGGAGAGAGAGAATTTTTCAATATTTATTTTTTAGTTCTCGGTGGACACAACATCTTTATTTATTTATTTTTTTTTTATGTGGTGCTGAGGATCGAACCCAGTGCCCTGTGCATGCCAGGCGAGCGCGCTACCGCTTGAGCCACATCCCCAGCCCCGGACACGATATCTTTATTCATTTATTTTTTAATGTGGTGCTAAGGATCGAACCAATGCCTCACACATGTGAGGCAGGCCCTCTACCACTGAACTATAGCCCCAGCCCCAAAATCCATATTCTTAAAGTCTGCTTCCTTAAAACCAATTCTGATGAAAAAAAATCTTGAGAAAAATAATTTTGAAATCCAAGCAATGGTAAGAAAATATTGTCCCCTTCCATTTAAATGCTTTGCTACAATCACCTAATAAGGACCTTTTTTCCTACTTGCTTGCGAGATCAAGTGTCTTGTGTTCTTTTATTTTATTTTTGTTAATGAATCTGTCAGTTCACTTCTGACCTGAATTCTACACAGCACACTTGAAAGCAAGGAGACACACAGCACAGGTAGCCGGAAATCCCACTTGAAATGGGCGCAACCACACTGAGGAGACTTGAGCAGCCTCCAGGAGCACTGCAACAGCAGCAGATGTCAGCACAGCAGATCCAGAAACCCCACCAAAGGTCCACTGACCTTTTGATGACTTGTGACTTCGTCCCTGCTTCTCCCCAGCTCCTCGGCAAGTTTGACGTTCTCTTCTTGCAGTGCTGAAAGCTGCTGGGACTTCTGAGCTGCCGCCTGCTTTAGGGTTTCTCTGCAAGGACAGTGAGTGCAGGGTTACCATAGAAACAAGACAGGCAAGGAAACTGTGGGAGACAACCAGCTTCATAAGCACTGAGGAAAATAGACCTGGGTCACGTGCCCCATAGGCTCTATAATAACAGGAGACAGTGTTATCTACACACAGGAGGGGCCTCATGGCTTTAATCTCTAAAAGGAGGGCAGCTGTCCACAATTACTGTTTTTTAAAACCTAATAAACACTATAGCCATTCTCCCACCAATCACACTTACTCCACATGAAAGGGAATTTTGCAATGAAATAAATGAGAAGGTCAGTATAGTCCTCCCATCTTTAGGAATATGTCCATTAATGTTAATAAAGTGGTTTAATTTGCTGCCAAGGCTTTCTGTTCTACCTGCACAGATCTATAATCTGTTTTTCTCTGTTAGTCATAAAAATCTAATGGTTCCATTTGCCAGTAACTGTCAGAGTCAAGCGCTGATGTGAATCTGAACAGACTTTTAGGACACCTAGAAATGAAATGCCTAAGGAAATGGCTTCCCAATTAAGCATTAGGTATTTTATTTCATGGTATTCTTTCCATTAATGCTAATAATTTTTTTAAGGCAAATTAAAATATAATATAGCCTGCTAACCCATACCACAAGTATTTTTACTTAGGCAGGTATTTACAAGGAAGGCACGTTTAGTAAATATCTTCCCATTATTAAAATTAAACCAAAATACACATTCTAAATTATTATCCTCAACACATGGATATTCAAAATATTTTACTTGATTGCTGGGTATTAATTTTGTGCCATGGAAGGTTTTGATGCAATTGTGAATTTTAAATAAGCCTGTGCTGGTGAATCTCCACTCAAAGGCTGTCATATGTGGCTGAATTCTGAATCCAGTCATCTGGGCATGAATCCATCTGCTGATGCATGAACACATCTATTTTTAACTTCAATTGTCTAATGGGTGGCAGTGCTTGGCATCTTCAATCTCTCGGTTTCTAATTCTCCACCTACCTATAATATGCATACTGTGAGGACTTCATGAAGATTTGGGGGAATCAATCTACACAAAAATTCTCTTAGAACACTAAATTAGACCTATAGAGATATTTAGAAAATGAGGAAAAAGTGAGAAGGAATTTTAGTTTCAGGTAATTAGTGACTCAAAAGCTAGAAGGCATGATTTTAATTATGGATCTATCTATTGCTGTATCATTCACTCACACACACATATATAAATATGCCCACACCACACACTGAAGTTCATCTGGCCAAAGTCCAAAAATCCTTGATAAATCGGAAGATTTTACTTCTGATTAAATCATAAGCCAAACATTGCATTTCTCAGGTGGTCACTACCTTCAAGAGGCCATCTGGTCTCAGCATTTGTGTGCCTGTCACATCACAGTAATATCTGTGCTGCTCCTCTCTTTCTTCCCTCTTAAAAATCCCCCCCCCACTTTTTTTTTTTTTTTGGTACTGGAAATTGAACCCAAGGCCTTGCACATGTTAGATAAGTGCTCTACCACTGAGCCACAGCTCCAGCTTTTTTCATTTTATTTTGAGACAGAATCTCAGTAAGTTGCCCAGGTGGGCCTCTAACTTGTGATCCCCCTGCCCCAGTCTCCTGAGTAGCTGGGATTACAGGCATGCACCACTGTGCCTAGTGATTTTGTCTTTAAAAATATTAATATTAGGGCTGGGGATGTGGCTCAAGCGGTAGCGCGCTCGCCTGGCTTGCGTGCGGCCCGGGTTCGATCCTCAGCACCACATACAAAACGAAGATGTTGTATCCGCCGATAACTAAAAAATAAATATTAAAAAAATTTTAAAAAAAAAATTTAAAAAAAAAATATTAATATTAATATTAAGAGGCTGCAGTAAGGAAAATTAAAACAAGGAGTCAAAGAAGTAATCTAAAATACTTGAAGTCAAAATATCCTCAAGTACTGATCTATGAAAATGGAACTTACAGTTTTATAATTTAAAAAATGCTTTCATGTACATTTTCTCATTTAACCCTCAAAGCACAGGAAGGATAATATATATTTATATTTTAAGATTATAAAACTGAAACTGAGAGAAGATTTGATCTAAATAATGTCATTAAGTCATAGAACCAAAAGAATTGGAAGCGATTCAAATAAAAGGACACCATTTAGTTCGTCTCTAGTAAAGACATAAATTTCATAGAAGGTACTCCCACATCCCTAACTGTGGAGATACTCAGGCATGATTCTGAAAACACCCATGAAAACATTTCTAACAATTTTTAAAGAAGCTACTTTTCTGCGGGACAAGATGTCTTGAAACAGAAAGGATTCTACATCTTTACAACAGAGAGGCAGGCATCCAGGGGAGGTGGCGCTCGCCTGTAATCCCAGCAGGCTGAGGCAGGAGGATCTCAATTTCAAAGCCAGTTTCAGCAACTTAGTGAGATCCTGTCTCAAAATAAAAAGGTTGGGGATATGGCTCAGTGGTTAAGCGCCCCTGTGTTCAGTCCCCAGTAACACCAAAAAAACAAAAACACCCGAGAAACAAAATAAACATTGTTAATATTGACTTGTAAACTTTTTTCTCATGAATCCATCATAAATCTATTCATGCTAAATATATCCTAATTTATTACTAAATAAAAATTATATTGCTTATAGCATTTTTTCTAAGATACAAAGCTACATATCAGTGAGAGACCATTTTATTAACACGTTCCCTAGCTAAAATTAAGGGTTTTCCTAAAATCAGTCTAGTAAATAGCACAGAGGAGAAAAACATTCAATTACCAGTGCTGGTTTCCCATAGGCCAATGTCCCATAGGAGAGTGTCCTGGGAGAACTCCCATCTACACTGGAATCCCCACCTTTTTTCCTTTTGAGACAGGGTCTGGCTGGGGGCCCAGGCTGGTCTCAAAGTTCCTATCCTTCTGCCTCAGTCTCTGAGTCACTGGGATTACAGGTGCACACCCCACAACCAGATGGCAACCCTTTTTCTCTAGGGAGCTCAGTCCTATCGGGTGAAGAGAGATGTCAGGACAGCTTTGGAAGACATGTCCAACCTCAGGGAAACGGGCAGCTGCTCATTCTCCAGCTTTGAGCACCGAGGAATGCACCTAAGGGGCACAAAACCACCACGCTGCTTTGAGAAGTGCTGCTCCCATTACATGGTCTTTTGATAGCAGACGGTCTTGAAGTGTGGCCAAGTCTAGGGCAGGGAACAATGAGTATTGGGACAGGGTTTGAGCCGACTCCCTGGGCCTCCCTCCTGCAGCATCTATGGAAAATTGCAATCTGGCCCCAGAAGCACAATCAGATTGGGGTTCACAGGGTGCACAAAAGATGGAGTCTCCTCAAGCCTGGTGGGACAGCCTGGGCTCAGTCTGCACTGGAACCTTCTTCTTCCTCAGGGAGCAGCAATAGGGAGGACAGGCTCCGGTTACTGTGATAACAGCTGGAGCCAAAGTCTTTTACCCCCAATCCTTTGCTTCCACAGGCATGAAGCAAGATTGTCATTAGTAGAACAATACAAAAGGGGCAAAAAGACAAACACAATTTTGCTTTCTTCCTTTTTGAATATAGGGAGGGAACTCAGGGCCTCTTGCATGCTAGGGAAGTGCTCTACCACTGAGCCATACCCAGCCCCAAAATTTATATCTTAATGGGAGAAACCAACCCCACACTGATTGGGGTAGGTAGGTGATATGACAGGGCTTAGGACTCTGACCATTGAAGAGTAATCTCACTGAAAAACTAGACCAACGTAATAACCACTACAATATTTCTAAATACTATTGCAGGAATGTTATCTAAATTCCAAGAGCTCTCTTGGGTAGATCCACTCTGGCCCTGCCCCCTCCATTACCTAGTGTGGCCCAGAGAGCTCAGGAGTGGGACTATGGCAGTGGGAGGTTGGTGAGGGAATCTTCTGCAGCTCACATCCTCCCTCACTAGCTGCCTGTGTGACACAAATGAACTAAAGTCAACTCAGTGTTCCAAAACGCTCAAGGTTAACATAACTACTTGTGTCACAAGGGAAAATCCTAGACTAAATAATCCCACCTTCTTTGAATCCAATTAAATTGCCATACTGTAACGAGGGCTTTTTTCCTGTCACAGTGTCCAATAGTCTATTTGTGTTACTTGGCTTTGGCAATTTAAGACTCCCCCAATGGCCATAATCACAATTATAAACATGTAATAAACTGTGTGGATGGAATTGGTGGGAACTGCTGAAACACAAGCTAGAGGAACACTGTCGACCCTGAGGCTGAAGAGGGGAATCAGCCACCAACAGCTTGAGGTGCATGATCCTGAGGTGAGGAGAGTAGATCAAACTATTCCTTGGAGAATCTGAAGAATTCCTAGAAGAACTAGACATGTACTAGTTTAATCCAAGCCTCATGAACAAAGAGTATTGAGGAATGGATCTGTTTGTTTTATTAGAACTGGAAATAAGTGATATAAACCTTTAAAGGGCAGGACTCACATCTAATTTATCTGTGTGTCCTTCCTAGCTTTTTGTACCTAGCATGAAGGACACACACACTCACATATTCACCAGATTAACTTTTAGATTTTTAGGTTCACACAGTTGATACAGTATAGTCATCAAATAGAAGACTAAATGAGATCTACACTGTAACCATCACTTAAAATGCCAGGTAAACACCAATCTCTGATAATTACAATAAATCAAACATGAAAAACCAGGACTAGGCTGGTGTCAAAGGAAACATGAATGGTCTGGCAGCCTAAGCCAAGGGGCAGGCTGAGGACACATCCTAATTTGAAGTCCTCCAAAATGCTGGCCATTTAGTGTCCATGCCAAATTTGATACTGAAAGTCTTGCAAGTGACGTGCTGCTGCTTATTTTCTATAGAAAAATCTTGCGGGATTTCTAAATAAAGGATCTGATGCTTCAAAACTTTAAGACTGGCTGTCACGTAAGCAGACTACTCTAAATGTCTGATTCTACTTGGGTTTTTTTGGCTTTACAAAGTCACATTTGAATCTAAAACATCTTAACTCATCAGGCAGCACATGGTCCCCTGTGATCCTTTAATGTAACTGTCGTTCTGACTTACCCCTGGTTACTGAGGTGGCTTCTGGGGGTGAAATAGTATTTGGGATACAGAAGGGCGTATCTATCTTTGCTTTATGTGCTTTTCAAATATTTTCTAAATAACTGTTTTCACTTTTGCAATTTAAAATAAGTTATGTGATTTCTCTCAAGGAGATTAACTTACATTTCTTTCCTGAATTCTTCCATTTTTTGATTCTCTACAGTCAGAAGTTCTTTTGATTTGTTCAGCTCTTCCACATTTTTCAAGTTGTTTTCTTTAAGCGTGTCCAACTTAAAGACCAAAAGAAAAAGTCTTGTGAAATATTTTCATTTTCCAATGGTATGGTTGGATAGACAAATTATTCATGAAAATGCACATTTTTAAAAATGGATGAAAATAGTCACTTGCAAAAAAAAAAAAAAGTGTCACGGGGTAAAGAAATCACAAATGGGACTGGGGTTGTAGCTCAGTGGTTGAGCACTTGCCTCGCACGTGTGAGGCACTGGATTCGATCCTCAGCACCACATTAAAATAAATAAATAAAACAAAGATATTGTGTCCATCTACAATTAAAAAAAAAAAATCACAAATGATGAGTCTATTATAAACTGCAATCCTCCTTACATTAAGTCCGACCATTTTGTGTACACCTGGCCAAAATGTCAAACTGATTTGCCACATAAATTAAAACAAAAGTTTTCCTTCATCTTGTGCACAATTCTCAGTAATTATTACTGAGCATACTATTCAAGTATGATTCATTTTTAAAAAACAAGAAAGAAATTGTAAAGCACATCAACATCAGCAAGGGTTATTCCTTGTACTGAAATGAAATCCCTTTTCTTCCCCCACAGAATAGTAACATATGATATGACATAGTCTAATTTCAGTACCAAATTTACACAGTCCTTGTTACAAAAGCATTTATTTGAACAAAATATATATAGATTGGAAAAAAATTAGTCATCAATCTGAACCTCAACCTGAAAGGGGACTAGGCATACAGGAAGACTGCGGGCACTCTCATCCCTCAGCCCCACCACTGCCCACAGCACTCACAGCCAGCTTAGAGCCTGAGCCCTGGTGGAGAGCCAGGTATGTCAGGGAACAGAGGGGATGTGACTGGTCCTGGATCTGGACCCCTGGTGGGAGAACCAGCAAGGATGGGCCACACTGGCTCTCTCCTTGTGTTCTTGTTTCCCATAGTCAGGGAGAAATGTCAGACTCCTTTTGCCATGTCACCTGCCAAAAATCCCGGAAAGTGTCTTGCTAGCTTTTGTTTTTGCAATGCTGGGGATCAAATCCAGGGCCTTGTGCTGCCAGCCAAGTGCTCTACCGCTGGGTAACACTCCCGGCCCTATGTCTTGCCAGTTTCAAAAACCGTACCTTCCTTTAAATACCTTCTAACATTCTAGATTTCCAGAACAAGGAAAAAAGTCACAAGAAATGGTTCATCCAGTCTTGTAATCTGGCTACCACAGGTATATCCAGGGAGGAGAATCCATGGGAGGACACAATTTTCCCTGAGTCCATCTTCAATGACTAGAAACATTCCCCCAAATTTTCTCAAATACTCTAGCTTCTAATTCAGATTATCATCTGTGATTTATTTTATTTTGAGGTGCTGGGGATAGAACCCAGGGCCTGACACATGCTAGGCAAGTGCTATACCACTAAGCAACCGGGTCTAATTGCCAGGCTGACACAGACTTGTGATCCTCCTGCCTCAGTCTCCCAAGTAGCTTGGATTATATTCATATACCACAACACCTGGCTCATTCCCTTCTCTTGCTTTTTTGGTTTAGTATCTTACCTGCCTGTAACTTTAAGAAGCATCTGGAGTTGTACAGACTTTCACACACTCATTTTAGTGAATCAGTCCTCTAGATATTTAGACAACAGCTTTCCAAGGAAAGAATGGGTTGGTATAAGATAGAAGAGTGGGAATAGGGGAATCAAAGAAGGGCCAAGGAGAAATGCTACTTGTGGATAAAAATCAAAATATCTTGACACCACAAATTTGTCTCAGCTTCAGAAATGACTAATTCAAGTTGACACAAAAGCAAATCAGCACTAAACTTGGCCAACAAAAGGCCTACATTAAATTTGGGGCTGCAAAATGGAATTTAGTGGCTCCAGGTTGGGAGAGAATTGAGGAGAAAAAATGCATATGACATAATATAAAGAATCTAGTGGCTGGGGGTATAGCTCAGTTGGTAGAGGGCTTGCCTCACATGCACAAGGCCCTGGGTTCAATCCCCAGCACCACTAAAAAAAAAAAAAAAAAAAAAAAAGAATCTGAAAGTAGGGAATGTCATCAGCCTTCTCTCTCTCCAGTGCTATCCCTAAGTAATTAACCAAAAACCACACTCTCAAGGTTTTCCCCTCAATTTTCAAAGGTTCATCCTACTAAATAAGTAATAAAGTGATACACTTTATCAAACATCCTCATGGCCCTGGTGTACACTCCATCAAACCTCGAGTGTACCTTCCAGGGATCAAACCTCTGGAAGGCCATGCTTTCAAAAAACACCCAATCCTGAGTTAGGATCCGGCGTCCCGTGAGGTCAGTAAGCCATTTAAGTCTGATTACTTCGCTTTGCAGTTTTGCGTTTGTTTGCCTGGTGTCCTCCAGGGAGGCCAAAGTCTCGGACTTCTCCTTGGTCATCTGCTCCATTATCTGCATGGCATCTTCCGCAGTCCAAGCAGCCTGAACACAAGAAGATAACGTGAGGAACGCTGCACTGGCAGCTGAGTGTTATGTGGCTGAGACACACCGCCTAGAGACAGCCCCCACCCAGCATGAAAGCAGAGGGCCTTCACTCCGAAGCAAAGTCAGACCCTTCCCTGCCACTCCTCAGTAAGTTGACATTCACACCATTTCCATGTTTCTGGACTCCTCTCAATCTCCACGTTCCAGGGACAGTTCCTAGTTACACTATCACGCCTTCGTCATTCTGACCTACATTTGAGAGGCTATTTAGTGACTGTAAAGAATGACAACCCTAGAAAACTGAATTTTTCCTAATTACATTTACTGTTCTAAGTTAAAAACTTTTTTTTTTTTGTTACTGAGGATTGACCCAGGAGCACTTTACCAGAGAGTCACATTCCCAGTCCATTTCATTTTGAGACAGTCTCGCTGAGTTGCTTAGGGTCTTGTTAAATTGCTGAGGCTGAACTTGTCATCTTCCTGCCTTAGCCTCCCAAGTCACTGGGATTACAGATGTGTGTGCCATCAAACCCAGCAACCACAACAATAACAAAAAACAAAATCCAAAAAAACAGAAAACACTATTCTTGCTATTTCAAATTTGGAGCTTTTGAAATCACTCAATTTAGGCTGGAAAGCTTCCATGCAAGATAAAAATTATTTGGGCATTTATAACATAAAACTGAAGTGTTTCATGAGAAGCATTTAATGGAAAAGTCTATGAGAGAAACTATGGATAATGAATTTATATTATGACTGTGAATAAAAAAAGATGTATGCAAATGGAGGTAAATTCTTAGCTGCCTAATATAAAAATAATCATAAAAATAAATTAAAAGCTTTCTAGGCACTTACTTACATTCTCATTTAGTCTAATGAATTTCATGGGCATTCCACGTTATACCTGCCCCATCCTTGGTCATGGAGATTTCAGTGAAATCATTCAACTCCAATGGACAGACCCAATGAAACAGTTAAGAGCCAAACAGCAGATACTATAGTTTAATATATGCCCATTCTATCATTGCCTATTTTTTCTCCCCTGGTACTGGGGACTGAATCCACTGAGCTACATCCCTAGCCTTTTTAAATTTTTTGATTTGAAATAGAGCCTTGCTAAGTCGCTGAGGCTGGTCTCAAGCTTATGATCCTCCTGCCTCAGGCTCTGGAGTTGATAGGATTACATGTGTGTGCCACTGTGCCCAGTCTATTATTGTTCTTAAGACTCTAAAAACCACAGTTAGTTTTTTCACAAAGTTTATCCTTAAGTTAAAAAATAAATCCTTTTTATTCACAGTTTGCAACTTCTTCCCAAATGGGGTAAGACGTCTGCACTCAGGCATTTAATAAATAAATGCCCTTGCAGACCCTAACGAACAACTGAAAACATAAAAGCAACCCATTTAATGAGGTGGATTTGCCTAAATAACAATAAGGAAAAATCAACTAAGCCACTAATGTTAATGCACAGGGTTAGTAAGGAGTCTGAGATCTTGATACTTGAACCTCTCACTTTACCGTAAATGAATGAAGAGTCTCAAGCTCTCTAATTTTAAGGGTAAGCTTGCTCCTGTCTTTCCTCAAAGTACGGTTTTCACTCTGAGATTCTAGGAGGTTGGCTGAAATGTGGCTATTGGTTTGGGCCAGCTGGCTAATCTCCTTCTGGAGAATGAAGTAGCTTTCTCCCAGCTTTTCCTTCTCCTTCAGGATCTCATCCTTTCTAAGCATCAGCTCTCTTTTCTCAGCCAGAAGGTTCTTGTTGTCTTGTATCACTTGGGCTCTCTCAGCCACAGTCACTTCATGGTTCAGCTGGAGGTCACCCAGGATCTTGGAGAGGCAGCTGTGCAGCTCCTGCAGTTCTAACTTGGACTTGGACAAGGTAGCAAAATCGCTTTTCAGGGTCTCTATGTTGGCAGCGAGCTGAGCTGTTTCCACACTCAAGAGTTCCTTTTCTTTAATGATCTCTACCACCTTTTGCTCCGATTTAGTCTTTTCTTGGATTAGTGTGAATTTCTCAGACTGGAGCTGTTCAGTACACACTCTTAACTCCTCCACCTCCTGCTGCAGGAGCACCATTCTCCCGTGGAGTTGATTGTTTTCATACAAGGATGACTCGTTTTCCTTCACTCTGGCCTCTTTTTCCAGCATTAAGGACTGCTGCATTTCATGGATCGTCTTGTTTAACTTCTGACATTCTTCTTGCAGGTTCAAGCCATCCCTCAGCAAAATGTTCTTTTCACAGCAACAAGTCTTAAGCTCAGCGTTCAGATTCTCCTTTGCTTGCATCATACTGGTGTGTTCTTTTTCAAGATTCTCTTTGGCATTTTGAGCCTCTTCCAGCATCAAAGAAAGGTCACACTTACTGGTCACCAGTTCCTGGTTTTCCCTTTTTCTCTCCAGAAGTTCTTTTTTCAGAGCATCAACACTGCTGAGTAGTTTCATCTTCTCATGCACAATTATCCTTTTGTTTGCAGCCTCTTGATCATACTTCCTTTTAAGGTCTCCTATGGCTTTGATGGAACTTTCTCTCTCTGCAAGTAAATCTCCATTTCGCATTTCCAGGGCTGATTTTTCTTGCAAGAGACTCTCCTGTTGCTTTTTAAGCTTAGTTATTTTCTGACAAGCCATCTCTTTCTCAGAAGTTAGGTATGTGATCTTCTCATTCAGGCTCTTCTCAACATGGGTGGCTTCTTCCGAGCGCTTGCTGAATTTTTCAGCGATATTCCTATTTTCACTTAGAAGTTCCTCCTTCTCGGCCAGGAGTTTCCTTTCAGAGGCTGCCAAAGTCTCTTTCTCATGGAGAAGCTGGATGCACTCAGAGTCTGTGATCGCTCGACTGGTCTTAATCTCCTCCAGGAGCTTTGTGAGGCTTGTGTTGGTGGCCTGAAGTTGCCTTGTCTCCAGCTCAGCCTTTCTCAGTGCTTTGCTGGCACAGTCCAGCTGCGTGTGCAGCGTCTCAGCCTCTGTGCTGAGCAGCTGCTTGACCTGGAGGGCAGCCTCCAAGTTGGCATTCAGCTTTTCCTGACCCTGACGCAGCACGTCCTTCTCAAATTGTAGGTCTCTGTTTCTCTGGAGGAGGTCATCTCGTTCTGTTTTCAGGACCAGGCATGCATTATCAAGGCTTGACTTCTTCTCTACCACTGACTTCTTCTCTGACGTGAGCTCTTCAATCTCCTGGACCAAAGCTTTCTGATCCTTGACTAGCTCCTCATAAGCGCTCTGAAGCTTCTGAATCATGTCATCCTTATCTTTTACTAAGAGGAGATTTTCTGCAGTAAGCTTCTTGATCTGATCCTCCAGGTGGTTTTTTTCTGCCCTCGCCTTCTCCGACTCAGCTGTCATGGTATCTTTGAGGAACCGGAGCTCATCAATGAGCACCTGCACACCTGCCTTGGAAGCTTGCAAAGAGTCATTCTCCCTATGTATCTTTAAGAGTTCTTCCTGTGCAACATTGATTTCTTTAAGCAATTTCTCTCTCTCGACAGCCAAAGATTCTTTATGGAGATGTTCCTGCTGGTAAAGCTTTTCAACATCTTGTTTTTCTTCTAAGACTTTCTCCTTCTCTAAATTAAGAGTTTCATTTACTGACCACAGTTTCTGCTGGTCTTCCTGAAGCAAAGTCATTTTGGCCTCCACTTCTACAAGCTTTGATAAAAGCGAACCTTTTTCTAACTTTAAAGCATTCCCCTCCTGAGCAAGAAGCTGCTTCTCTGATTTCAGACCCCTCAGCTCTTCTGATATTAGTTCAATTTCTTTTTTGGCTGATGTTAACAAATAAGTTAGCGACTACAGAAACAGAAGATGGAAAGAATGGAAACAAAAATGAAATCAAGCAGACAAATGCAAGCCCAAATAACTTAATGTAGCCTACATGGTAAAAGTCTAAAATTTTCTACCATAAACTTAATAGAAACTATGTGAATAAGGGGAAGAAACCAGAGAAACAGCCCATAAAGGGATGATACAAAGCAAAGTTAGCTTTGCAACATGCTTATAAATCTACTCGCTGATTTTCTTTGAAACAACCTGATAACTCCCTAGAAAATAAAAGGGTAGCTTGATTTTGGCATCAGGGCATAAGATTCTCTCTTACCATTCCAATTATCTAATTATTGCTATTATAGAAAGGATTTGTAGAAAAAATTTAAATATACAAAAAACTACAAAAAATGAGTATATATTAACCAAATACAAGGGAGAGGACGACAGCAAGGGAAAATAAACTGCTGCTTTTCAACCTAACTGCATGACTTTGCCAAAATGACAGTCACTTGGCTGAGTGTAGCTTAGCCCCAGTAATTTATTAAATACAGAACAACTTCTAGGCTACGGTGATTGAGTAGATTTTTAAAAATATATTGATTTATAAGATAATTTGACCACAATGAATACAACAAAAATTTAAAAAAATATTAAGACAAAAAAAAAAAGCTGTGGTTTGGTCAGACTACCACATGTTAAAGGAAACACTAAAAAACTCGAAGTCGAGTCCAGATCAAGGGAACTGCACAGGGCTGGGGCTATGGCTCAGTGGCAGAGCACTTGCCTAACATATGTGAGGCCTGGGATCGATCCTCAGCACCACATAAAAATAAATAAAATAAAGGCATTGTGTCCATCTACAACTAAAAAGATATTTTAAAAAATATTTAAAATAAAGGAACCTTACAAACAAAAGATGGGGAGCCATAACCAGTGCTAAATGGCTCATATAAAACTGGAGAGTTACGGAGAAGAGGGAGCCTTACCGCCAGCATAGGCAGAGGGAAGCTGCTGCCTCTTATGTTTGACACGCACTATGTCATACGACCTTAATCAGTAGGAAGTTTTCCATAGGATTTGTCTCAAGTTATTTTCTAATTTATTTCTACTAAACTCCTACATAAACATTTATCTAATACTTTAAAAACACACAAAGATAAGTATTTACTTTTCTTTGAGCAATAAAAAAGTTCAATTGTAGTAGGAAGTTAAGTTACCAGCGTCAAAGAAAATATTGGGGCAGAGAGGCAACCTGAACACCATAAACTGAAATTCAATGTATCAAGTTCTACTCTATTCACTAAGAGGATGTTTCCTCACTGCCCTTGAACCCAGCTTCCTTGTTGATAAGCCCTCTTGGAATTTGTCCTTTTTTGGTTTAAAAAAAAAAAAAATTTTGGTTAATTGAACCTGAATTGAACCCAGGTCTCACACATTAGGCAAGTGCTCTATTACTTAGCTATATCTCCAGTCCCTTTTTTAAATTTTTATTTTGAGACCAAATCTAAGTTGCTAAAGCTGGCTTTGAAATTTTGATCCTCCTGCCTCAGCCTCCCAAGTAGCTGGGATTAGAGGTGTGTGTGCCCCTGTGCCAGGCATCCAGAGTTCTAATTCTTCCTGCGAGAGCTCTGTTTGTCCAAGAAGGCTCTCTCCATTTCTAACTACTGGCTCGTGTGTGGCCTTGCTCTGCCTCCTGCTTTTCGGCAGCTTGCCTCTCCTAACCCCAGTGCAGGGTGGCAGCAGGCTCAGCCAAGAGGAGAGGAAGACACTTTTCCCACACCAGGGAAACTACTACAAGCAGGCAGACAGCTCCTGCAGCATAGGATGCTTTGTGCCAGCTAGGAACAAGCAGCAAAGGGGGTGGTGATGGCTACATAATACATCCAGGGGAAAGACCTGCAGCCATCTCCATCCTGAGAAGGAAGAGTACCTGGTTCCAAAAAGCTTGAAGTGACCTGAAATGCAATCCACCACCCTGCCGTCCAGAGAGGTTAACATTTGCGAAGTTCAGCTCAAGCTTCGCGTCTGCCACTGCTTTCAAAGCAACTGCAGCCTTGGTGCAGAACTCGAGCGAGCTGTAACACCACGACAGCACACCCCAAGGACCTACTTTGGCTTTGTCAGCCTGTACTTTCAGGTCCTCCATCTCCTGCATCAGGCCTCTGTTCTCCTCCTGGGCAGCCTTCAGCTTCTCCTCCGTGGCCAGCAGCACCTTCTGTAGGTTCTGCAGAATTTCTTCATGCTTTGTTTTCGTCTCAGAACTGGCCTTTTCATACCTGGATTTCAGATCCTGACACTGGTTGTGGCTCATTTCCACCTTCTTTTCCTGCAGAGACCCCAAGGGAAGGAATGAGTCATCTGGCCCAATCAGGATCACCCTGCCCTCCATGCCAGCCAACAGTCCCACTTGCTCTCTCCTTACCAGGTCTAACAATTTTTCCTCCAATTCTTTCCTTTCTTCCTTGTGCTTTCTGGCTGCTTCCTGCTGGCTCTGTTCAGCTTTAAGAGTTATTTCCCCAATACCTTTCTGAAGAAAACTCGCATTTTCATTGGCCTTTGAAAGTTTTAGCTGTAATTCTTCCACACATCTGGAAAAAAGTTTTAATACAAGGTGCCAGGTCATAAGAATGTTTTAAATTTAAGAATTACATTAGAAGTATACTATTAATAACAATTGTATAATGATTATAAAATTTATGAGTAATTAATACCTGAACTAGGCAAATTAAAAAAAAAAATCACCTGCTTAAATAATTTTAGCAACTATGATAGTTCTAAATATTTTATTTAGAGTGACAACTAACACAATGTGAAGATTATTTTATGTTTAGATCATAGTGAAAAATAAACATGTTAAAGAAAATGAATTTTTTCAGCAGACTAGATTACTAAAAACTCATTAAAATACCTCTTGGGAAGAATGCAAAAACGGCAATAAAAAGCTTAGAATTTCTTGCTTAAAGAGAACTGTGTGGCTGGAAAAGGATGTATGGAAAGCATGAACACTTCCAGGAAGATGGGCTACTGAATGAATCATAGAACACAGGAAGCAACATGTAGGCACCTCTCGATTCTACCTGTATAACACCTGTGCAGCATACCTCCCTCACAGCAGGCCTGGTCACCAACCACCACTACCTCTGAAGTGTGTGGGGGTGAATGGATAGTGTACCTGTCATTTTCCAAGTCTTAACACTTTGAGAAGTAGAATTCTAATGGTTCTAAAATACTGTCGAGAAGTTTCTGCTGTATAAAAAACATTTTGAGAGCTGGGGATGTGGCTAAGCGTTGGCGCGCTCGCCTGGCATGCGTGCGGCCCGGGTTCGATCCTCAGCACCACATACAAACAAAGATGTTGTGTCAGTCGAAAAACTAAAACATAAATATTAAAATATTCTCTCTAAAAAAAAAAAAAAAAAAATTTTTTTGAGAGCCTATGTAGGGGAAAAAAAAAAAACCCAAAGCAATAAGAACCTCATAACAAAGACAAGAACAGACATTAAGCCTCAAGACTGAGAAAGTACCATATAGCAAGAGCAACAGGGGTCCAGGTAGCCAAATCTGAAACCACAGGCAAGTTACTCATCCCCAGGAAGTCTGGGTTTCTCAGTTTCTCTTTCTTTAAAATAGGAATAATAAGATAATTAATAACAAGTAGTGTAGGCCTGTATTTCCAGCTACTCGGGAGGCTGAAGCAGGAGGATCACAAGTTCAAGGCCAGTCTGGGCAACCTAGTGAGACCCTGTCTTAAAAAATAAAAAGGGAGATAGCTCAACTCAGAGGTAGATTTCTTATTAAGCAAGTGTGAGGCCCTGGGTTTCATCCTTAGCATTGAAAGGAAAAAAAAAAATACTATACCCACCTCATCAGGTTACTATGAGAATTAGAAAATGCACTCCATATGAGCTATCAATATAGTGCATGGCACAAAGTAAACTCTTCACTGAGTGTTACCTATCATTACGTTGAAGTTAAAACTACCTTTAACTGCCTGTAAAAAATGTTATTGCCATTTCTTTGCAAATCACCAAAAAGTCTATAAATAATATTGTATTCATTAACTCCATCCTCTCTCGACAAGTGATATAGGTAAAACCCATAGTAAAAAATTAAAAAAAAACAAAAAAAACAGTTGATTCAGGACAAACTGAGGTTGTAACAGAAAGGAACAAAGGTCTATGGGTGTAGCTCAGTGGGAGAGCACTCACCTAGCATGCGCAAGGCTCTGGGTTCAACCCCCCACACCACACCCCCCACACACACACACACAGGGAAGGAAAAAAAGAAAAGGACACACAAATCTTAAAACACAGCAATTCTAACCCTGTGGTCCCTCCATGTATAGACCCTACTGCAAAGTGTAACCTAAAGCGGGCACTCATTCTCTTCATGTTCATACAGACCTTTCTTTCAGACGTAATTCATCATTCATTTTCGTCAGCTGAGAAGAATTATCTCCTGACATCTTCATTATTTCGGCAATGTCATTTTCCAATTTTTCCTTTGCCTTTATCAACTGCTCTTCTTTTTCATCTCGTTCTCTAAATTTCGCCTCCATATCTAAACATATATAGGAAAAAAAAAAAGCACTGCTTGTTAACAGCAAGAAAGATTTACTGAGTACATCCTTGTTCTGGGGGTGACTGTATACTGCAAGCCCCACCCTCAAGAAAGTCACATTCCAGCAAAGATGACAGTCATTAAACAAGATAAAGAAAATAATAATGTAATACAGATAAATGCTAAGGGGAAAACTAAAAGCAGAGAATGGAGCTGGGAAGATTAAAATTCTAGATGAAGCCTCTCTGAGATGGGAACATTTAAGTAAAGACCAAAATGAAGGAAGAAGGAAAGTCAAGTGCAAAAGACTCAGAGGCAGGAACATGTCTGCTGGGTCCAATATCAGCAAAGGCTCAGGTGGCCAGGGTGGAAAGAGCAAGGGGTAGAGGAGTCCAGGGCGAGACCGTGAGGAATGGGCCTGCCTGGGGTAAGGACCACAGCTCTTAGTGAGTGAGATGGGAGCTGCCTGAAGGTCTCGAAGACAGAGGTGATAGGACCTGACTTCGCACTCAAAGGCTCACTCTCTGGCTGCTGCAGTGGGAACCACAAGTTGAGGCAAGGGCAGTAACAAGGAGCAAGTGGTCAGCAGTTAAAGATGGTTTGGGCTGGGGTCAAGGCTGGCCACAGAAGTGATGGGAGTGGTGGATCTGGGCTCTTTTGAGAACACAGTAGAGGACTTGTTGGGGTCACAGATGGCAAACAAGTATCCACCCATTATATCACCATGCGGGAAGAGGTCATGCCTCAACAGCAGATATGTCACTGAGGCACACGACAGCCATCTTGAATCCTTGGAAACCTACTGTATTTACTGCTTAGTAACCAGAGGTTTCTTACCTGATAAATTTTCTCTTAACTTCTCCAATTCAGAAGACAGCATGTTAAACTCTTCTTCCTTTTGGTGCAATTTATTTACAGTTTCTATTTAGAATAAAGTTAAAAGTTTACTATATTTCATATTTAATAGGCTATCTAGAGCTTGGCTATCTTACAAGCCAATCAAATCATATGCCTGTGAGATCTGACAGCCCAGGAATGCTGAAATGTCCCCTTAGGTTTTTTGTTTGTTTGTTTGTTTGTTTATTTGTTTGGAGGGGGTATTGGGGTGGGGGCAGATACTGGGAATTGAACTCAGTGGCACTCGACCACTGAAACCACATTCCCCAGCCCTATTTTGTATTTATTTAGAGAGAGGGTCTCACTGAGTTGCTTAGCATCTCGCTTTGCTGAGGCTGGCTTTGAATTCGCAACCCTCCTGCCTCAGCCTCCCGAACCGCTGGGATTACAGGCGTGCGCCACCTCCAGGCGTCCCCTCAGAACGCTGCGGAAGAAGCCTGGCTCTCTCCCTCCCACATGTGCGTCTCAGACAGGCTCCCAAGCCTTTTCCCACATCTCTTTCTTCCTTCCAAATAAAACTCAATTAAGCTATCAATGACTAAACCTCAAACAAGGTAACACTTTTCCCAGGAATACTTACATTGTATTACGGACTAAGCCTTAAGCCAAAAGAAAAAAAGAATTACTTGGGAATGTGAAACTTGGGGAAGCCAATAGAATCGCGCATTCCTGCACGCTTGGCAATGCCGGGACAATGAGATTAGACTGTGGAAAAGGTGTACTGAGCGGCCAGCTCCAATGGGGCAGTGTGACGTGCCCTAAGGTGACCTGATCATACTGTCATGAGACATACCTTGCATACTTCTCTGGACAGAGGCTGCCTCCTCCGAAGCATCAGCAAATTTTTCTTTCTTAATAAAAAAAAAAAAAAAAAAACCAGATAATCAGAAGAGAGATTTCAAATGATAAAAGGTATCAGTTACAACCACAACACTGTCTACATTGTGTTGCTGGTTTTGTTTCATTAAAACATACAAGTACCAATTACTGGCCAAAGGTGTACCGTGCACAAGTGCATGTATACATACAAGTAAGTGAGGCATGTGTGGCCCGTGCATGCGCAGTGTGTGTGCATCCCTGTACCAAGAGTAGGAACTTATCCACTTATGTAGATGTACACATAGGCATACACATGTGGTGCCTGCGCATGCTTTGTCACATTGCTTACACTCAAATAACAACTTTCTGTTCAGAAGTCTGCTTGAGACAGTAAAAAGTTCTGGATTTCTTTATTTCTGAGAATAACCTGAGAAAATTTAACTAGATTCAGGTCTAACATCTTGATTCTAGATCAGTCTCAGAAATTTGTTCAAGGTTTCCTTTTCTACACATGACAACAAGCCAAGATAAAACCACTATCCTGGCTGTCCTGAGATTAATTTTGAGCTGATTACCCCAGAGAATGTTTAAATGAATATTTCTAACTAAGATTACTAAAAGATGGACATACAAACCAAAGTCCATCAAAACCCTTAGAATGCTAGTTTGTGTTATTCCCAAAGCCAGACTTGAGGTGGCTTGTATTCTCCAAAGAGCAAATAGAGGGATACTCTGATTTAGGAAAAAACCAAGGCATCCTGAAAGTGTAGGAAGGGGACAGAGAAATGGGGAACTCAAAACATTTTCTTAAAGGATACCAAATCACAAAAGGGTGATTTCCAAGTCAACTTCTTCACATAATGTAGCTAAAAAATTATATGCCAGAACTGTCCAACAGAACTTTGTATGATGGTGAAAATGTTCTCAACTGCTCTTTGGCCTTTAGCCACATGTAGCTACTGAGCACTGAAAATGTAGCTGGTGTAAGAGCAGAATTAAATTTCAATTTTATTTTTAATTCATTTAATTTTATGTGCATAGGAGCCACCATTGAAAAGTATGGCTGTATAATTATCATTAAAAAGTAGAGCCGGGCATGCAGGCACACACATGTGATCCCAGCAGCTCAAGAGGCTGAGGCAGAGGATTGAAGTTCAAAACCAGCCTCAGCAACCTCGAGGAACTAAGCAACTCAGAGAGACCCTGTCTCTAAATAAAATACAAAAAATGGCTGGGTGTGACTCAGTGGTTGAGTGCCCCCGAGTTCAATCCCTGGTACTCAAAAAAAAAAAAAAAAGTAGAAATCTGTAACATTTAGATAAGAAATCATAGCCAGGCACAGTGGTGCACACCTGTAATCCCAGCAACTCAGGAAGCTGAAGCAGGAGGATTCCAAGTTTGAGTTTAGTCTCAGCAATTTAGCAAGACACTGTCTCAAAATAAAAAGGGCTTGATGTGTCAATGTTAAAATACCCTGAGTTCAATCCATAGTAACCAAAAAGGAAAAAAAAAATCAAATCATATACTTTTTTGTTTACCACTGTGGTTAGCTGAGAAGTATAGCAAGTGGGGAACAGGAAGGTAGGTTGTGGAAGAGCTGGAACAACAGACTCTGAGTAGCTACCATTTCTCTTGTCTAGTTTCTTCATAGGTTTATGACTTTCCTCTTCCATGACACATGAGTACCACAGCCCCTGTTCACAATTACCAGCTTTGATTAAGATCAGGTTTTTGGTGTAGAAGGCAAAGTAGGAGGGGGAAAAAATTGAGAAAAGGTTAAAAAAAATCTGTTTCAAAATCTGGAATTAAGAGGAAATATGAAAAAGACAGTAATTACCTAAGGTTGAATACAGCAAGTTGTAACCAGTGGAGGGCACTGAAGACCAGGATAGCCAGGCTGCTGCTGCCCAGCAAGGTCACAAAGCAGGAGGTGAAGGCACAGCACAAGACATAGCCTCACCAACAAAGAAACCTAAAATGCTGGGTTTGCAACTAGGCAGGGCTCCAGGTTCAGCAAAGCTAAACAGTGAGTAACGTTCCAAAGCAGTGCTTTACCAAAGGCAAGAGAACAAGAAAAGTATACCTACCGTTACTGCCAGTTTGTTTACTCCAATTCCCCTCAAGATAATTTATCAGCCAATAGCCAATACACTCAATTTAAATAGGCATTTTGAAGGAGAAAAGAAATAGCTTAATCTTTCTCTTTATGGAGATTTAAAAAACAACAAGATTAGGAAATGGCCAGAAATCCTGAGAATCAGGTTCCCAATAGGTACTTACCAAAATATGAAGTTCTTTTTCCAAAGCCTCTTTCACTCGACTGACTTCACTCAAGTTTTCCTCAAGGTTAGTAAGCTTTAGCTCTTTTCCCTGGAGCTCTCTGGCAATGCTACTAGCCTAACACACAGAGTTACATGGTATAGAAGCAAATGAACAAAAAGGAAACAAAAAGAATGATAAGGAAAAAACAAAACAAATATAAAAAAAATTAAAAGAAACAAACACAACAAAACAAAACTGAAAGGAATAAAAAGGGTTTTTTTTAAATTCTAAGACGCCAATGACTTTTCAAATAATCAGTTCTAGATATGATCATCTGTCTAATGGTTTTTTGTTTTGTTTTGTTTTTTATCAAAATACACTATTTTCCCACACCTAAAATTGAGTACCAGCAAAATCCGAAGCACAAAGTGCCAATGCTTACTTCCTAAATGAGCTCCTTGACCAATTTACTTCCTGGATGTTAAAAATCTAATGCTGAGAGTGCAGCTCTGCAATACAGCCTAACCTCAGCATGTGGGAGGCCCTGGGTCATCCCCATCATTAAAAAAACAAGGAAAAAAAACAAAAAACCTTAAAATAGGGATGGTGGGTGCATGTGGTCTGTATTTTTCCATACTTTTATAAATATACATTCAAAACAAATTTGGAAATCCACTAGACAATAGCCACCAGAACTTGGCTTTCATTAAATCTTGACGTGAAAAAGTGACCCAACCATTAGTTACTTATTCTCTTCTAATTAAAGTTTGTGTTTTGATTGGTGTTTTGGAACCACATGAGGAGATTAGAGAAAATTTCCACAGCTTTGTCATCTTCAACTACAGGTAACAGCAACATCTGCTATTTGTCTGTCCTCACCTCTCCCCATTTAACCAAGACAACCCTTCCTTCTTTTGTGGGAGCAGCTTCTCCCACAAAAAGCTCAGAGCATTCAGCATCAGTACCACCACCTCAACCATGGTAGGACTGGGAAGATCTCTTCAAGCAGTCCTTAAAAATAAAGAAGACATGTAACAAGGCTAGTTAGTAAGAAATGGAGCAGGCTGATGGTTCATAATTTCTATGTCTTGGCCATAAGCATACTTGTCTTCCCTCAAAAAAGCAGGGGACAGGCCAGGAGCAGTGGCACATTCCTGTAATGAGAGCCTGAGGCAGGAGGATCACAAGTTCAAGGTAGCCTCAGCAACTTAAGAGAGGCCCTAAGCAACTTAGTGAGACCCTATCTCAAAATAAAAAATAAGGGCTGGGTTGTGGCTCAGTGGTAGAGCGCTTGCCTAGCACGTGAGGGGCATTGGGTTCAGTCCTCAGCACCCACATAAAAATAAATAAAGTCATGCTGTCCATCTACAACTACAAAGGGGGGGGGATGGGGATGTAGCTCAGTGGTTAAGTGCACTTGGGTTTAATCCCCTTCCCTCACCCCCCAAAAAAGCAGGGGCCAGATCATTTGCTTGTGGCATGGAAGAAAACTTCAATGCAACATTAAGTGGCAATGCAAAGGGCTCTGAGCTCTTGACCTTCTGTGAATGTTATTTATCACAAATGTTCATTCACAATAGTCTAGAAGCACTCAGTTCACACTGTTTTTATATATAATCCTACAGACAAGGCAGTGATGTGGGTGGGAAAGGAGGAGACAAACTTATGTTTTTATCTTATCCATCCACTCATCTACCTAACCCCACCATCACAGGGAGTTCTCTATTTAAACAGAGTATAGACTAGAATTAAGCTTACACAGGAGTTCACATCATAGTCTAGAGATGAAGTGGTAGATAAAGTACCCAGATTCAAGGAACCAAAATAAACTAACCCAGTTGGGCAGTTATTTTCTTCAATCTCCTCACATGAAACCATACTTGAGATCCTAAGAAGACACTATATATTATATTCAATTAGGAGCGCTACACAATTTGTTTTCATTAAATAAGGAATTTGGGGGATGAATGACCTCAACTCAAAAGTAACATACAATGCAAAATAAGAAAAACCAACAGAGAAGGAAAAAAAAAAAAAAAAAGATGGAGGACTTCGATACAAACCTTGTCACTTTCAGCATTCTTTTCAATCTCTAAATTTTGAATCTGTTTCCCAGCTGCCTCAAGCTGCTGTCTAAGTTTCTCCATATCCAATTTACCTTCGGAACTGGCTTTCCGAAGTGCATCAAGATCCAAGAGCTTTTCTTCAGCAGCCTTTAGCTGTGATGTAAAATTATCAATGACCTTGGTTTGTTCACTGTATTTGGTTTGCAGTACCTCTAGCTCCTTTACCTTTATTTCAGCTTCCTGCAATTTGTTTAAGGCTTCTTCCATTTCTACTAGGTGCTGGTCTTCTGCTCTGTCCAGTTTGGACTGGATGGTTTCCAGGCTGGTCTCCTTTTCCTTAATGATCTTCATCAGTTTAGATCTTAGGGTTTCCATCTCTTTAGCGTGCGCAGACCGCTCAGAGTCTTGTTTGTTCTGTAAATTTTCTATTTCGTGCTGGTAATCTACTCTCAGTTTCTCTATTTGCGTCTTTAATTCAGCAAACTCAGCGGACTCTGTCCCAACCCCTTTGCTAAAGGACACCTTCAGCTCCTCCATCGCCTGCTGATGGGACGCAATGGCAGTCTCCAGTTTGGACTTCCACAAAGCTATCACATCTGAATTCTCCTTGTTGGCATGGTCAAGCTTGCTCCTCAAGGACTCATTCTCTTTGGAAAGTTTCTCTGTGGCTGTGTGCAGAGCCTTTATCTCCTTCTGATATGTCTCTTCCCGGACCCCGAAGTGCTCCTTCAGAGAAGTTATTTCCCTCTGATGGTCAGCCTGTGTGACTTCTAACTTTTCTTGCCAAGAGCTTATCTCTTGCAAAAGGGAAAGTGACATATCCACGTCCCCAGCAGGCTTACTGGACTCCAGCCTTCTTCGGAGCTCAACCACTTCCTGTGCTCTCAGCGCTAGGTCTTTCTCTAATTCCATTATCCGAGACTTTTCTGACACTGTAGCCACCTATTAATAGCATTCCAAAGAAAAAGAGGTGATTTAAATAACAAATCACTGATGATTTTCTTCACTCCAGAAGATGGTAAGAACTACCTTATCTCAGGCAACAAACCATTACAAATGCCCACAGGTGAATTTATCTCCCACTGTGATAATAGCTTAAAAAGCCCAATTCTGGTAGAACCAATTCAAAATTATAATCTCTGGCAAACTTCCACCTTTTGATACGCTGAAGAAAAATCTAAAATGAATATCAGTTTAAGTCACTCCAAAAATACTTTCTTCCTTTAAAGCAGCATAAATCAGAGAAGTACCCACTAATTAATAATAAGTTAACAGGAACTTTGGAAGTTCTCAGGTATAGGCCCCTGAGGAACAAATGCTCTTAATTTGCCCAGTTTTTTCCACCCCACTTCATCAAGGCTGTACAAATGCCCCTCTGTCCAATGCTGGTGGCTATGGAGTTGTGCCATCCAGGAGGAAGCCACTGGCCATACACAGCACTGAGCCCTGAATGCGGCTCCTTTGGGGTGAGGTGATAAGACACATCAGGATTTGAAGACTCAATGGAAAAAGAATATAAAATATCTTGTTAACAATATGCTAAACTGATTATATAATAAAATTTTGAATATATTGGTTTAAATGTGTTATTAAAATTAATTTCTCCTGTGGCTTACTAAAAAATGAATATGGGTACCAGAAAATTCACAAATTCTGTATGTGTGGCTTATATTCCAAGTCTATTAGCACTAGTATAAAAAGTCTGAAATCATCTACTAAATGTTTCAATGAATAACATATCACCTGAACAGTAAAAGCTTCAACTACATAATAAAGAATTTTCTAACTTTTTTAAAAGAACAAAGTAAGAATGATTGCTTACCTGTAAGTTAATTATACATTAGGCTCTTAACAGACGGTCCCCTTTCTGGATTTCATAATTCTATCAGCATTTTGATGTACAAATCGGGTTGCCCCAACCCAGTGGTTCCCAACCCATTAATCATCTGGAATGTATGTCAAAAATGCAAGTTCCCAGCTACTCCTACATGTTTGGGTTCTATTTAAGTTCTAAAGGTCTTAAAATAAACACCCCAGAGCTAGGAAAAACACTGTCTAAACCTGTGCCCTTTCAGTCATAGAAAATGATTCTCCCTGCTACCTGTTAGACAGGCAGTTTAGGGCATGCACTATGTGGAAAATGGTAGCTTCATATGTAAAATTATTTGACTAACCTGGGAAATAGAAGGGAACACAAGTGATTTAAAAATATCAGTGAGTCCCAACTTTCAAGGATCAAAACTCCTCTGAATTTAAGACTCCTCTCCCATACTGCCTTTGTTGGGACAGAAAAAAAAAAAAAGTTCCTTTCATTTCCTCTGGCTACCTGTGTGGGTTGTGATACTGATAGTGTGCACAGGAGAAAAGGAAAGGAAAGCACGCGAGTCTAAAAGTGCACAACCAGCCATTAGATATTTCAAAGCTGACTGGAACTGCCGAGCTTCATGGTTACAGATGCTTCAGGTTAAAGGTGTTAATTAATTTTCATACTATTTTCTGGGGAGGGGACAGACTAAGAATTTGGTACCTAAAAATAAGAAATAAAACATGTAATAAACTCCACTACAAAGTCTATAGTATAAAACCCTAAAATCCAACAGGGCAAATTGTTCTTGGTCATAACAAAACAGTCAAATGGAGAGAATACTAAGTAAAGAACAGGTGGAAAAGGAATAAATAAGAGTGTGATTATTTCTTATATGGCATTTTCATTTATGGAACAGCACTACTTCTATTTTTAATTTTATTTCCCAAAGTCTGTTGGAAGTCAAAATTATGTATCTGCCTCTCCCACTAGCTTGAGGCCACAGAAGTCCATAATTTTTCCCCCCCTTGGGTGGGGATGGAACCCAGGACTCCACACATGGCAGGCAAGTGCTCTACCCTAGCCTTCATGTCCTATACTTCCCTCATATTTTCACAGTACCAGGCACATTGTTTGTGAACCAGACTAATTTGTTAAGAGGAATTCTAAAGTGCTCCTGAGAAGGAATGGAGGTGATAATAAACTTACATGGGTCACTGGTTATTTGCACACTTGGCAAGCCAAGAGCAAAGATCAATAACAGAAGATATACCTAGCATGCACAAAGTGCTAGGTTTGGTCCCCAGTATCACCAAAAAAAGAAAACGTAATTGTGGAATCATGTACACTTTAATTTGAAATAACTGGATAAACCATGCTGTAAATGGATGCTTTCTTATCCAAAGCAAAAAAAGAAAGCACTGAAGTTGTTTGCTGCCAATACTGATATATAGGAGAGGAGTTCAGAAATTAAAAATTCCACCCATCCTGACTTCAGCAAAATCATATTGAAGGGCCTGGACCTCACTTGGTCCCTGGTATTTCCCAGATCAAGTCTTGGGCTCTCAGTACAAAGAAACAGCACCAAATTACCACTGTTTTCTCTTTTCTGAAAACCAAATTCACATAAGAAACCTTTAGTTTTGAGGTTGAGAATATTTTCTTTCTTAAAAAATAAAACTTAAGATTAAGAGAAGGAAGATTACTTGGTTACCTGGATTTTTAGGTCAGTGATTTCTCACCAAAAGAAATTGCCATAAATACTAATAATTTGAAAGAAAAAATGAAGATACCAAATTTGATCAGTGACAGAATAATTTTTGAATTTTTAAAGTTAAGGCCAATCACAGTCAAATTCATGATTTAAAAGTTACATATAAACACATTTTTATACATAAGTGATTCTGATTAATTTGTAGATCTTTCAGCACAAAACTATTTTCATAATATCCTCTGATAGTTAAGAGTACAGACTCTGGAGCCAAATGTCTTAGATGAAAATTCTGGCTCCACTATTACCATTAGCTGTGTGACCCTGGGCAAGCTGCTTAATTCCTCTGTGCCTTAGTATCCTCCTCTGTAAAATGGGAACAATATTACTACCCACTTCCTAGGGGCATGGCAAGACTGAATAAAACCTACAAAGCACTTAGAGCAACATGTGGCATGATGTGAGCATTCTATAGGTGCTTTAATATGTAAATAAGCTTAAAACATGAGGAATGCCCTGGCTCCAAGGGCCAAACACAGTGGGCTGGGGACAGTGAGAAGCCATCCTGTTCCCCATTTGCATGTCCCTCCTGGCCGACTTTAAGACTTTAATCTCCCAGGTGATGGGAAGGAGGGAGGTGCAGAGAAAGATCAGCTATCAAGAAAAAAAAAAGGAGAGAGAGATCACCAGGGTCAAAGACCCTAACTCTCATTAAAAAGAGCTAATGTTCCAATTTCCTTCCCCTCCTTGAGGCTAAGGGAAGAGGCAGGGAATAACCAATTATTTTGAAAATACAGTAACTAAGAATATGAGAACAAGAAGACAACTGATGCTTGTGGCAAACCAGACAGGTGAACTCCAAGGTACTGATACAAAAAACTCAGAGAGGGTGGTGGGTATCCACATACTTCATGAAGTTTCTGATCTTGATCTTGATTTTGATTTTGGCTGAGTTAACAAAAGGAAGGGGTCTTCATTCTTTTGAAAAAAGATCTGATATGAGCATCTATACCTAACCACAGCTGTAAGCTCATGAACTCCTGAGCAGGCTGAACCACTGAGTCAGGGCTCAGGCCAACCGCAAGGCCACTCGAGGCATCCACCACCCACACGCAATGGGCTGCTTCATTAGATAGTGAAAGCCATTACCCTAGTGTCTTCTAACTCCCTCTGCAGTTTGTCAGCTTTGGTCTTTTCAAAGAGCAGGCTCTGTTCAAGCTCCTTAATGCGGGCATGCTCCAGTTTGGTCTGCGTCTGTTAGTGAAAAGGAAGAGGAAGAGAACACAACAGTGCCACCTGACATGCCAGCACGAGAGCGCGAGCGGCATGCAGGCTGAGCCATCAGTACCTTCTGCCAAAGGATGGACAAAAAGGGCATGGAGGAAGGAAGAGAATGGAACTGCAATGAGGAGGAAGGTGAGGATGGGTTCTGTGCGCGGAAGGGTAACAGTGGGCAGAGGACATGAGTGAGTCTGTTGAGAAAGAAAAAAATGGAAAACACACGAGGCAAGATGAAGTGTCAGATGCATGCAGCCAAAAATAGGTTATATTGATAAGTTTATCAGCATAAATTAGAATAGTTAATAGTCCTCTAAACTATCATCTTCCCTCCACCCCATGTTGGCTACTTGACATTAACGTGTATGTAACTGACTTCCTGACTTCAAAAAGCAGACTGACTCTCAGCATGATCATCACTAGCACCTCCCTGTGGAGAAGACAAGGTCATGAATCATCAGGTGTTCAGCAAGTCTGCAGAGCAGACCCTTGCACCTGGCTAAGTGCCATGATCAAGGTCAAGAACCAGTCTTCGTAAAGGGCATCCAAGTACTAGAGCTAAGGAAGTCACGGTGGCAGGCTCTGCTCAGATGGGTGAGAAGGTCGGAGGGAGGCTCCCAGCCATGCTCTCGGGTGAGGTCAGGGACAGAGCCACCAAAACTAACCCCCCTCCAGCAAGATTTTCCAAAGGCTGTTTGTTTCCAGGGACAGAAAAAAAAGGAATCAGGTTTACAAAGAAAACTCAGTAAAGACTGAGAAAACTCAATCTTTACAAAGATTACCCTTCAGTCTAAAAAGGCCAAAAAAGCAGCTCAGAGCAGGGGATAGTTCAGCTCAGACTATAAAGGGGCTTACTTTTATCCTAAAATGATGTTGTTTTTACCAGCTAAGCAGTCAGAGAGGTATGAAATGGTGACAGCACAAAGGCAGGAGACTGTACTCAGACCAAAGATTGGGGAAGAGCCCAGCATGAGTCAGGAGCTCCACAAACTCAGTGTTCAGATTACCTAGGGGGACAGAAGGTAACCACTGGCCAGTGGGCTCCAGTGCAGCAGAATCTTGCCCAATTTGAAGCAATCCATGTATCAGTCCAAATGTGTCTCTTCTCCCAACTACCTCCCCCACCAGGGACCATCAGATTGATCCTCTGGCCAAGCCCACTGACAAGCTGCTCTTGGCAACTGCTGGTTACTCGGATTAACTTAAATATCTTGTGGTTCTTACTGGCCTGAGCTATAAATCTTGACAATTAACAGGCAATGAAAAGTGACAAGTCTTAACCAAGTGACACCAGGTAGTCCAGAGTAGGCATAGGAGGTGAATGTGAGGCAAGGCTACAAACACCTTCACTCACTCCCTCAGCACTCTAGGGGCTCCAGGGCATTCCGAGGCCACTTTTGCTTATGAATCAGGCATAAACAAACTATCATGGATATGTAAAAGATGAGTGAAAAATATTTTAAAATCTCCACCTGCTTCAGCTCTTCATCTTCAAAAAAAAAAATCAGAACCAAATATCCTGGATAGTCCCCACCTTGGTCCAACATGTGCCTTACACAGAGTCATTCAGCTTATCTACTTTGACAAGAATCTAGTTCTAGAACTGGAATCAGCTTCAGGAACTGAAATCCAAAGGAAAAAGAAAAGGCAACAGTCCCTTTCTCCCCTTGACACTTGCCCAAGTGTCCTCTGGGCAAATCATCACTGCATGCCATTTACTGTGGTATTGCCCCCATGTGGAGATGTCCCGGCTGAGTGCCGCAGCCCCCTCCCACAGGGCGTGCACACAGATGACCGGGGGCCCATGGCCTTCCACCCCTAGCAGCAGGAAGCCAGTGATCCACATCCATGTCATGGCCGTGGAAAAATGGGACACGGAGCAGGACAAGCCTCCCTTTAAAATGATGGCTTTTCTCAGCACACAGGAGGGTTTCCTGCGGGGAGAGTCCTGGGACAGGGAACTGAAAAGGAGAGCAAGGCCCATGAGAAGCCATAGAGAGGCAGGAGGCAGTTCCCATGCACACCGATGCTGAGGGCAGAGCAGCTGAGCCTCTTCTGGAAGCAGAGAGGAGACTCGAGTACTGAAGCAGCTCCGCAGAAAGGACCGCCTCAGAACCAGGCTTTTAAAACACTCCGACTCGAGTATTCTATTTCAGGATGATAGGAAGAAAAATAATTCTTTAATTTCACTCTCTTGTGCCAGTAAATCAAAGCAAAATGTTTTGGGGTTCTTTTTAACTGGATTCACAGCTGGCAGGGTACACCAGAAGCAGTGCTCTGAATGCCACTTTGGTGAGGTTCTATTGGGTGTTTATCTTTTTTTTTTTTTGTCTTTTTTTGGAACTGGGGGGTCAAACCTAGGGCTTTGAGAAGGCAAGGTAGACACTTTGCCACTCAGCCAACTCCCAGCCATATTGAGTGTTCAATCAGAGGAAGGAAGAAAAAAAGCATGCCCAGTGGCATTGTACTAGAAAAAGCTCCCTTATAGTAAATTTATTTTGTGTGTATGCGGGATGGGTGCTGGGGATCAAACCCCAGGGCCCATATATGCTATGCAAATGTTCTACCACTTAACTGCATCCCCAGTCCAAGTGACAGTATATTTAGAACACAATGTGGTCACTGAAGAATGCTGGCCTCTGGTTTCAGAACTAGGGAATATACTGTAGCTACAAATGGGAGTTTATACTTCTTGTCAATAGCACTAAAGGTGCTGGCCAGCAGGGGGAGCGCATGTGAAGCATCAGTGCTGGAGCTCACCCACAAGATCAGACAACTTCCCAAGCAAGTCATCTAATGTGTCCTATGCCGTCAGCCCTCGCAGAATAATTCTACTAAAATTAGAAGACATTAGGGATTAGGTGAAGAAGGCCAGACCTCCAGACAAATTTTTTTCCTTTCATCAAATATTCTTTATAAAGCAAGCACTTGCCTATTAATTAAGCAAGTGAATTTGTGGAGCTTAGTCATTACATACAATTTCTTCAGGACACAAATATAATTGCTTTGAAAGCCACATGCACAGAAATATTAAGGTCAATGTCCCAAGGTCAGCTTATGCAGTTAGTATTTGAGTATATCAATAAGCATTTTAATCTGGAATCAATCTGTGTTAACAAGGGAAATATCCACACAGTGAAGTGCCCTCTTACATTCTCAGGATCTTCAGAAATCTGGCTCTTTTGCTATCAGTAAAAAAAATAAAAAAAAGTAAACAACAACAAAAAAAGAGATTGAACTAAGTTTTCAACATGTGTTAGAGTTTCAAGATGACTAATTAATTTCAAGTAAGTTTATCAGACAGACTATGCCAGCCTCGTGCAGATACATAATTTTAACTCAACCCTCCCCAAAATACCAGAGGCTACAATTCATGTGAATTAGATGATGACATGAAACTTCTAATGAGACTGTGGGGTGTTTTTAAATGGATGAGAACAACACAAAAGTCAACTGAAGGAATGTGACCGTATATGAAATGGATGAGAAAGACGACTGTACAATTATTAAAAACCATTCTGTTCTGGATCCTGTAAAACTAGAACTCAAAAAGTGTTCCCCTTGCTCTTTGCCGACTGCAAAAATATTTATTTCCAAAGAAACCAGAGCTGCTGTTGGAAAGGGCCCCTGAAACCCAGTGTGGACAGCCAATGGACCCAAGAATCGTGATGGTGGCAAAAATGTTACCTTCTGAGAACCACACTGACCTGTGCAGCTTTTACTAAAACATATTACAGATTAAAAGAATAAAGCATTTGCAAAATTTTTAAAAGTTGGTAATTTACATTTGTATTCATATACCTGGCAGTGGTTTGAAAAGCATCAAAAACCAATTAATTCTGGTGTCTAATTCAAAATTAATATGAATAATTGTGAAGAAGAGACAAGATATCTGACTGTAAAGGAAAATTTGTATGAATTTTAAATATGCCACGAAAGTAAAAGCTAAAATGCAAATTTGCTCTTCTTTTTCGCTCTGGTAACTACTTTCTTTTTTTGTATATGGTGCTGGGAATCGAACCAGGGCCTCCCATGTGCTAGGCAAGTGCTCTACCACCGAATCACATCCCCAGGACTGACTCCTTTAAAATAATAAATAAATAAATAAATAAATAAATAAATAAATAAATAAATAAATAAACGATTGCAATATAATTTATTTCTTTTATAGAGTTACAAAGATTTGTCCTGCTCAACTGAAAAACAAAGCTGACAAAGGCTTTGTTATGGTCCTTGTTATGGTCTATTCTGATGAAATTTAAAATGCTCTTTTAAAATGCCATTTCTACCCTAGCACCACAAAAAAAGTATCATTACTTATTTATTTGGAACTTGAGATTAAACCCAGTGACACTCTACCATTGAGCTATACCCCCAGTCCTTTTGATTTTTTTGAAATAGACAGGGTCTTGCTAAGTTGCTGAGCCTGGCCTTGAACTTGCAATCCTCCTACCTCAGCCTTCTGAGTTGCTAGGATTACAGGGGTGTCACCTGGCAAAAATGCCTCGCAAAAAATGTCATTTCTCATAATTAGAGGAACGGGTATAGTCTCACTTAGGATAGTTTTAAATTGAGAACACACTGCCAGGTTATGACTTAATGAAATCCAATTCACAGCTTTGAATTCTGAAACATGAGCACAGAAGTGAACATGTCACTCTGCTACAAGAACTGGGACACAAGTACTTCAGGCTCCAGGACAGGAACCATCACCTTGGCCACAAAGCCTTGCTCACAGCCCTACTTGGCAAGAGGCTAGGGTGCTGACCATTCTCTCCTGAACATCTAGCAACAAAGGTCAGCGGGCACAGGATATCACCTACATTTGTCAATATAGGCACCCTTTTTAATTTTAGGGAGCTGGGAGGGTTTACCTCAAGATCGCCTTTGGTAATTGATTCTTCTTCAACCCGGAACTGAAGGTCCTCAACCTTCCTGTGGAATAAAATAAAAAGAAGCACTTAAGAAAGCAACTAAGGACCATGGCTACTTTGTACCCCCACCAAAATCTGTAATCAGTATTCTGGAGAACTCAGATGAAGTGAAAAGGAATACCTTGGAGTCCCAAAAATAAAGAAATGCATCTTTGGGGCTCCAGTTTATAATAGTTATATTCTAATTATTTAGAAAACACCAAAGTTTTATTCAAGTACAAACTCCAGAAGACATAAGGTTAAGATTTGAGAAAAATGCTGGGTGTGGTGGTGCATGCCTATAATCCCAGGGGCTCAGGAGGCTGAGGCAAGAGGACTGTGAGTTCAAGGTCAGCTTCAGCAATTTATCAAGGCCCTGCAACTTAGCAAGATTCTGTCTCAAAAATAAAATATAAAAAGGGCTGGGGATGTGGCTCAGTAACGGTTAAGTACCCCCAGGTTCAATCCCAATACCAAAAAAAAAAAAAAGAATTGAGAAAAAGTAACTGGTTTCCTTGGTCACAAACACAGAATGAATCTATCAAGACAAGACTAGCCTAGCCAGGTATGGTGGTGAACACCTGTAACCCCAGTAACTGGGGAAGCTAAGGCAAGAGGATTAGAAGTTTGAGGACAGCCTGGACAACTTAGTGAGACTATCTCAAAATTTGAAAAAAAAAAAAAAGATCTTGGGATGCAACTTAGTGGTAGAGCACTTGCCTACATATGCAAGGCTCTGTGTCTAGTCCCCAGTACTGCACACAGGTACACAAGGTATGACCAGCCTAAGAAGAAAATGTCCGAGTCTCATGGAAACAGGCTCAAGGCTTCAAGCGTTATTCCTAATTTTCAAGACAGAAGCCAAGGGAGAGTGACGCAGAACACAAATCTCTCTATGTCACCTCATATCAGATGTTTAGGTGAGGCTAGCAGGCTTCTCATGCAGAAGAGGCCCCAGTTTTAATGTCTCTAAGGCAATACCAGCACTGCTCCAAGGTTAGGGAAAACGGAGTGAAGAATGATTTGGGGAGGAAGCCATCAAAAATCCTATTCTTTGACTCTAAAATGCACATTTTCTACTTTCTCACACTGTGAAATCTGACACTGGGCATGGTTTCAATCTATGTCATCACAAAGTCAATTAAATAAAGTGATATTCAGAAGATTTAGAAAATCTAAGTAATGTCCACACTATTAATCTCCCACCTTTTTTTTGGTGCTGGGGATTGAACCCAGGAGCATACACGCTAAGTATGCACTCTACCACTGAACTATGTCTCAGCCCCACATTATGCATCTTTCCAAAATTGCGTGCAAACAAAAGGGAAATAGGACTGGGATTGTGACTCAGTGATAGAGCGCTTGCCTAGCACATGTGAGGGTTCAATTCTCAGCACCACATATAAATAAATTAAAGGTCCATTAACAACTAAAAAAATGTTAAAACAAAACAAATTAAAAAAAAAAGAAAAGGGAGACAAAGTTCATACTCTAAGTGCAAAAAAACCGAAATTCTTCAAACTCACTGTTACTTCTACCAAAATTAAGAATAAAAAATCCTATTCAATTAAATGGGAACTCTCATTATGCGTTAAAACACAAGACTATTTGGGAGCTGGGGAACATTTCTGCAATCAGAGTGATTTAGAGACAGAAGCAAATGGCACTCTCAATCTCTCCTTGCCAGCCAGTTTTTGAATGTTTCTGTCTCCAGTAAGGAAGACAGGCCTTGGCAAAGCCTGTATGGCCCTCACTGTGTACCTGGGACTCTCCTGGGCAGGCAGTAATATTGTTATTACTGAACTAAGTTGCTCTTATCAGAAATGACAGGATGGTAGAGGACAGAGGACAGCTTCCCAGAACCCAGGAATGGTCACACAGTTTCCATATAGACACTTCTCAGAGGTCTTGTTTGTTCGTGGCCTCAAGGAGCCTCCTTGTTTAAGAACCAAATTTCTCTATCTCACACCACTTAGCATTTGATTTCATACTGACTTGAATAATTCTCTAGTTGCTCCTCATGTGAGAAATTCCTAAGGACTAGAACCTTGCATCAATCACCAGGCATAATATAATCCCATAAATAGTAGTGACTTGAACTAGAACAGCCACAGGTGAAAACTGGTTGGAATTACCTCCACATTTCTGACCAAGGACACCCTCAGGAGATATCTCAGCCTGCACAGGGAGCTCAATAAATCTGTTAATCAGGTCATGTCTAAATGAATCCAAACTTCTTAAAAAATGTCAAATCAAAGTGCATCTTCAGCTACTTGGAGAATAAGGAAAGAAGATCACAAGTATGAGGCCAGTCTAGGCAATTCAACAAGACTGTTTCAAATAAAAAATAAAAAGGGGGCTGGGACTGTAGCTCAGTTGGCAGAGTGCTTGCCTCTGACATACAAGGCCCTGGGTTCAATCCCCAGCACCAAAAACAAGGGGAGAGGGTGCTGGGGATGCAATTCAGTGGTAGAGCAAGCACCCCTGGGTTCAATCCCCAGTATTGCCAAAAATAAAAAATACAAAGCACACCCTCTTCATCTGCAGGAAGTGTTGTTGGGTTTCTTCTGAACACACTCATCCCTTTGGTTCTGAAGGTGAACAAGAAGGTTGTTGCTGGGAAATTTCTTCCTAAGATCATTTAAAAGGAAAAGCACACTTGCACTCAAGGACAGTTAGGGATCACCTTTTCTCCTCCTCCAGTTGGTTGAGAAGCTCCACCTTCTCTCTGTCGGCTGCTTCCACCATGGTTCGCAGCTGGTCCATCTTGGCTTCCAGCTCCAGGACATGCTGGAGAAGCAAGAAGGAGAGTGAATGGCCACATTCTGACCAAGACACAGGCCGGGGTCCTCCAAACAGCTACTGGTAAGGGTTACCATGTTGGGTGGGCATTACTCTAAAACCCTGTCATCTCCAAATGCTTTCTACCTTAATAGGCTATTCTCAGCAGCTTTCCGAGAAACTACATGATGAAAAAACTACCATAAAAATCAACAAAGGGCAACAGTTAGCCGACTCTCCTCTTTCCTGAAGCTGAAATGCATGTCAATAATAATCGACAAATGGGAGCTAGGATGGCTGCCAAGGCCCAAGTGAACAGTGGCTTAACACAACAGGCCCAGAAGCCTGGAAATAAAGACCAAAAGGCTGAGGACGGATCAGAAGAACAAAAAACTGCACCTAGTCACAGCTTTCAAACGAGCTCAACCCAAAAGCTGACACGCGGTGCTCTCAAGACCAGCTCTTGGCTCCAAGCACCAGGTGCACCACCTCCTCACTCAATTTAGGAACCATCACCATCTCCACAACAAGGTCAGCGCCAGTCTTCACCTGGTCATGCCCGTCCCGGGCCAGGGCTAGCTCCTGCTCTATCTCCCCCACGTGGCTGGTGGCCTTGGCCACCTCGGCCCGCTCCAGGTCCCGCTCAGCCAGCAGCTGCTCAATGTGCTGCTGCTTCTCCTTCAGCGCCTCCTGGAGGGCAGTGGTGCCCGAGATCTTGCGGGCGTAGCGGGAGGAGGTTTCAGTCAACTGCAAAGGAAAGTTAGAGAAGTGAAGGGCCATGGCGCTACCAGGGAGACAAGCAGGGAGCAAGGCATGCATGGCGGGCATCTCCTCAGCAAAGCAAGAGCACGCACGGTTGGCTCGAGGGTCTGCCAAGTGCTAGGCAAGGTTCTCAGCAAGAAAACAAGACAGCATAAACCTTTGCCTGTGATCCTCACATCAGCACAATGAGCCCAGGGAACAATCCAGAAGGCGTTTAGAAGACCACATGGCTCAAATCACAAGCGCTCTGGGCTTGGCTGACTGGGCCTTGTAGGAATCTAGAAAAATCCCACAGGACCCATTTAACAAGTTTCTCTAGATTCTATTTCAGCCTGTGCAACAGTTATCTTCTCATGATGACGTTTTGGCCAATCTTTTGATCCTTAGACTTGAGGTTGAGACCTTTTTAAGCTTCTTAATCTTCTAAATACCATTAAGATTTGAAGAAGTCACCCTTGGAGTCACAAACTTTTCTTCAACTGATTAAATAGTTGGTTTTTTATCAGAAATCTTCATCCTTCTTTCGAAAGGAAAGACATGGGAGATCTCACCCAGGAATCCACTTCAGGCCCTATTCCCCAACCAGCATAGAGGGAGATAACGGTACCTGCTTTCATAAGCATATGGCCCTGTGTGATTGAGTGGGGTGTCTGGGTGTGACACACAGACAAGAATGGAGGGGAAAGCAGATGGGGAGAGAGGGAGAGAGAAGTTTATGGACAAAGAAAAATAGGCTAAAGGGAAACACGTGAGAAACAGGAGACCAAAGGAAGAAAACAAGGGAAGAGAGACTGGCCGGGACCGTCAGCCTGCCATCTGCTAACTTTTGCTATTTTATATCCAATCCTCCACCTTGGGCTAAAGTCACGTAAAATCCCAAAGACGACGATGCACTGCTAACTGATGGCAGGTGACTAGAAGAACTGAGGGCTCCTCTGCGCTAGACCCTGGAGGAGTGAGCAAATGGCTCTGCCCGCGGCCCTGTCCAAGGCGTTCAGCAGAGCCCGGCTCCAGGGCTATTTGGCCTTTACTCCACCTTCTCCAGTCAAAGCTCCGCTGTCGCCTGAGTGCTCTTCAGTCAGTCTGTCAAGCCCTCACTGCAGGATGTGGACTGATGAGATCTTTCACAATTAATAATTCAGCGATTTGGTAACTATATAAAGAGTAAGGGATCTGGTCAAACCCAAATTGCCTTTTGCTGTTTCATTTAGTGAAACTTCTGGAATTAGTTTAAACATATTGTAGGGAGGGGGTTCCTATTCTTTTAACCATTTGACCCTGACTTTCTACTTTCACGATATGGCTAAATTATTCAGTTATAACATCTCTTATGTAGCTAACATCTCTTCTTGTATATATTAAATGTAAGGTCCCAAACGAGGTACAGAGATGCCCAGGGGGCTCCTGCAAACACACAGGGTCATGCAGGAAGCTTTCAGACGCCAAGGGAAACAGAACATCTGCTGGACACCCTGGAAACAAGTGGACAGAAGCGATTTGGTTTCAATACTGCATTCCAATTCTTTCCACAGCTCCCCATCTTTGCAAAACTGGGTTTTGGCCACTGCCAAGATAAAAAACAAGTCCTGTGCAAAAATCAGTGCAGTCTAGCAAATGAAGGTGGAGATGGTGAATCTATTTTTTTTTTTTAAAGAAAGAGTGAGAGAGAGTGAGAAAGAGGGAGAGAGAGAGAGAGAATTTTAATACTTATTTTTTAGTATTTGGCGGACACAACATCTTTGTCTGTATGTGGTGCTGAGGATCGAACCCGGGCAGCACGCATGCCAGGCGAGCGCGCCACCGCTTGAGCCACATCCCCAGCCCGAGATGGTGAATCTAAAGTTTGACAAGAAGTGCCAGAACAACAGGGCACAGTATGTCACTGTGATTATTAAAAATGAATTTAAAACATTAATTTTTCTTTCAGCTTCTCTTTTCCTGGGACAGAAATGCATCTCTGAGCAATACAGTCAAAAAGACACTTTTAATTATTTTATATTCTTGTCATTTTCATTCATGGTTATTTCTGATTCAGAAACTATAGCCACCCTGGGCTGAGGTGGTCCACGGTAGAGCACTTGACTGGCATGTGTAAGACTCTGGGTTCAATCCTTAGCACCACTGGGGGGGGAAAAATGAAAGGAAGGAACTGAAGCTACCTTACACAAACACACAGACAGGCTGTACCACAGGGCAAGGAGACTCATCTCCCACGAAATTTTCCTCACTAAATGAGATAAGCTAAAAGAAATCAGAACTTGCCTAAGTAAGAAGAAAGACTGGTAGGAGCAGGAGGGGCTGGTATTTCCCAAAGAAATGACGTCCATATTGGAGCTTGCAGACCCTCTCTGAACAAGGCTTTGTCCAAACAAAGGGGTTTTCGTCCACCTCCAATTCATTCTGGTCACACTTTCCTCCTAAGGATCCATTTGTAATTTTTCTGTTGAGAATGCAGTCCTTTTTTTCATATGCAAACTGAAATAGTCCCCGTGGTATTTATTTTACCTGAACATAAAAGGGGAAAACTCCAGCTGGCTGGCAGAAGAGTCCAACCCCACCTAAAGAGTCTAGTCCTCTCCTTTCTCGGTCCCGAGAAAATGAGGTCAAGGGCATTCACCGTCATGAAGCAGAGACACTGAATTCACTCTGGAACAGAACCTCATGCTGCCACTTTTGATGTCAACGGCATCTACCTCACCTCAAGTAAATACATTTAAGGGCAGGGGATGAGGCCAAGAGTCACTGCTCTTGGCCCCAACAGAATACCATGTTAACAAGAAGATCAAGGTGCCATTGTGACTCTGATGAACATATTTTCATTGCCCTGAATGAGAAAAAGGGGAAGGAGATAAGGGTCAAGAGAGGAGAGGAGAGGGCCAGGAGAGGGAGGAGGCACCATGAAGTGGCTTTTCCTTGCACTCTCTGGTCATGCCAGGAACATGTTACACACTGACTGCTTTCAGGAAGCCAGACTGTTTTAATATAATATTAAAATCCAAAAAACAAGCTTTTCTCAAAATACTTAGTTCCTAAAAATATTTGAAGAAAAGAGAAAGAGACCACACTTGAGAAAAAAGATCCTCCAAACCTTCCCATCACTTTGTCCCAAAGTAATTTCAGAGAAGAAATTAAGCAGTAGTTGCAACGGGTTCACCAAAAACAGGTAGATTTTTAAGTATAAGAATCCTAGCCAGATGTGGTGGTGCACACTTAGAGCTCTTTGGAATCTATGACTTAGAATCTATCCCAGTGGCTCAGGAGGCTGAGGCTGGAGGATTGCCAAGTTCAAGACCAGACTCAGCAACTTAGCAAGACCCTAAGCAATTCAGCAAGTCCCTGTCTCAAAAACTAAAAAGTGCTGCAGATGTGGTTCAGTGGATAAGTGACCCTGGGTTCAATCCCTGATACCAAAACAAAAAAGAATCTGAAAAGCGCTATTATAAACCCTTCTTCTGTCAAAAGCTGCATTCCTGCTGGAGTTGGCATGTTCAGAGCTTACTTGCACAGCCCTTGGCAGCAAGCCACGGCCAGCACTCAGCACAGGGACAAGCAGAGCAAGGGCGCCCGCAGGGGGCAGCACAGTGCCTGGGAGGCAGAGTTCTAAGAAGAAGGGAGGCTTACTAGTCCTGTCCGACTGGGCTTGCTGCTCACAGAGGAGGCCACGGAGCTCATGGAGCTGAGGGAGGAGGCGGACGGGCTGCGCTTCAGGCTGGCAGACGTGGTGGCCATTACGCGCCTCACTGCGGCAGCCTTGGCTTTGGCTGGTGTAGTGGAAGGGAAGCCAATCTTGGTCACTTTGTGGACCGGAGCAAACAAGCCATATTTGGGTTGACACTGAAAATACCTTCAGAAAAGAACAATAAGAACAGCAACAAAAACAATTTAATTACAAGAAGTAACACCTGTAACAGAAAGGCTCTCCAAAGTAAGTGTGCCTGGTGTGCTGGGACTTGCACCTGGAAGCTGGGCAGGTGGCTTTCCCACCTGTGTAGCTGAGTGTCAGGTGGTACGCTGGGAACAGCATGGCAGCACACTGCTCATTTGCAGCTCAGGTTCAACACATAATATTTCTACCACCTGGTAAATGTATAGCAGAGAAGCTCAACAATACAGTGTCCCCACTTAATAAAGCCAGGCCACACAAAGGGGAAAAGCACACAAGTCCTGACTGGCAGATCCACCAAGTCAACATGGAGAAATTCTAGTAATGTCAGCTATTGGACAACCTTAGAGCTCTTCATCCTTGAGAATAATGATGGTCTAACATCAAGAACAGGTGGTTTCAGATCCACTGCTGCACCAAGAGGTTATTATCTCCACAAGTCATTATATTTGGCAGATTAAGCCCACATGTGTACAATCGACTGTGCGTGCCCTACAGGTAGAATGTTACCCACAACACTTCAAAGATCAAGGGAAGCATTAAACATACTGTATACTACTAACAATGATGCATCCCCGGGGCTGGGTGGTGGCTCAGTGGTAGAGCGCTTGCCTAGCATGTGTGAGGCACTGGGTTGGATTCTCAGCACCACATATAAATAGATAAAATAAAGGTCCATTGATAACTAAAAAATATTTTTTAAAAAAATGATGCATCCCCATCACAGTGCCCAAGGCCTCCAAAACATTTAAAAGTAAATGAGAGAAATCCCCCTTGCACTCCTTTGTGCTGCTCTTTGACTCCCATCAGGTACTGGAGGCCAGAGGCAGTGGTCCCTGGACCATGGCTCTCTGGCCAAAGGATGGAATTCTCATCAGACAGGAAGACACATATTACAGTTCTTTTCCTAACAAAGGCAGTCACCTTCTCTTCTCTCCATCCCACCCCCAGATGTCCTAGAACTTGTAGGAACTTCCTATAGTTTGCTATCAAAAGGGAAAGAAATAGCCAGGTGTGATGGCGTACACCTGTAATCCCAGCAGCTCAGGAGGCTGAGGCAGAAGGATAGCGAGTTCAAAGCCAGCCTCAGCAACAGCGAGGCACTAAGCAACTCAGTGAGATTCTGTCTCTAAATAAAAGACAAAATAGGGCTGGGACTCAATAACTGAGTTCAATCCCTGGTACCCAAAAAAAAGGGGAAGGATAGCACGATGTTTCCTATTTTGAAAAATAAACTGGGTGAGGTGTTACAGGAGTGCGATCCCAGCTACTAAGGAGGCCAAGGCAAGAGTTGAAGCTCAACCTGTGCAACTTAACGAGATCCTATCTCAAAATAAAAAATAAAACTCAGAAAAATGAGAAATTATACCCCATCTGATTCAAATGTATGATATGTCAAGATCATTGTACTGTCATGTTTAATTAATTAAAACAAATAAAAAAAGATAAAAGATAAAAAATAAAAAGGGCCAAGAGTAGTGCACACACCTATAACCCCATCATCTTAAGAGACTGAGGCAGGAGGATTGCAAGCTCAATGACAGCCTCGGCAATTTAACAAGGCCCTGTTTCAAAATAAAATACAAGATGGGCTGGGGAGGTGGTTCAATGGTAAAGCACCCCTGGGCTCAATCCCCAATACCAATAAATAAATAAATACTAATAAAGGCTGGAGATATATAGCTCAAGTGGTAGAGCACCCTGGATTCAATCCTTAGTACTGGGAAAAAAGAGACAGAGAGGAAAAAACAACTGCTGCACTGGTTCAGAATCTATCAAGACATATCAAACTTTACTAAAGAGACAATCAAATTCCAGCAGGATCTCTGGAAACAAAAGCACAGCTCTTCAGAACACTCGTTCCTATTGCACCACGCACACGGACAGTAGCTTGAGTAGCCTCACATACAAGAGGAAGACACAACCTCAAGAATCCCAACCAACCTTGTTCCAGCGACGGCACCATCATTCTTCCCAAGAGGTTCGTCCAGCTCCACACCACACCATTCCCCCTTGGCAAAGTCAGTCTCCCCAAGAAACCGGACAACACCAGCCTTGGTGCCACCAACCTGGAAGAAGAAAAGGTTAAAATGATGAGATGGACATGATTCTACAGCTTACTCCTTCATCATTTCAGCAGCAGCAGCTTCTCAGCTCTTTGGGAGCTGTCACAGACTGGCAAAGTTACTGGGTGACTGACATTGCCAGTCTGATCCCATACCTGGCATATCCCAATAATGAAACAGCTCGTGTAATGTACAGTCACTAACACTGCTCTCCAAAGCAATTGCTCCCTATCTTAGAAAAATACTTTTATTGCTCCAGAGCAATTTTCTTGGTTGAAAATAAATTTTTGCTACAAATAAAACCTCTACATTATTAAAAGGAAGCAGAATTCACCCATAATCCCTACATAACAAGTGCTGTTTATTTTCTCATAATTTTTCTTTCACATATTGGTCCATGAAGGCAGTGACATGTGCATATCCACACATCCACAAAACACGCTTAGTTTGGGCCTAACTATAAGGAATATGAAAATCCACTGTGAAGCTCTGTTTCCTCACAACTATTAAAATCACCACTCCTGTGTGTGTGTGTGTGTGTGTGTGTGTGTGTGTGGTGTGTGTGGTGTGTGTGTGTGTGTTTTGTTTCTGGGAATCGAACCCAGGGCCTTATGCATTCAAGGTAAGCTTTCTACCAACTGAGCTATATCCCCAGTCCCTCATGTTTTATTTTATGTGAACTATTCCAAGCCATGATTCACGCTTAACTTTGGTCCAAGCCAACCTGGGCAACTTAATGAGATCCTACCTCAAAATAAAAAATAGAAAGAGCCAAGCATGGTGGCACATGCCTAGAATCCCATCAGCTTGGGAGGCTGAGGCTGGAGGATTATAAGCTCAATGCATCGGCAATTTAACAAGGCCTTGTCTCAAAATAAAATACAAAAAGTTCAATATGTGAATGCTATCTTTAAAATTACCCAACCAGCACTACTAATTGCTCTTTCCCTCACATGGACATGAAAGCACATATGTGTTTGAGTCTCTGTGCATGTTCAGAAGTCCCATATTTTAGCCCCTGCACTGGTAGTACAGTTATTGCTACGGTACAGTTGGCATTGCATTTGCTAGCACTTGTCTCCCTTGCTCCTGTACTGCTTCAGAATGTTCCTTGATTTTTTGCTTTTTTTCTATTTCTTTTTTCTCAATTTCCATTTCAAAAACTTCCCCAATTTGGGGCTGGGATTTCGGCTCAGTGGTAGAGCAGGAGGCTCACATTGGTGAGGCACTGGGTTTGATCCTCAACACCACATAAAAATAAATGAAGGTATTGTGCCCACTTACAACTAAAAATATTAAAAAAAAAAAAAAAAAAAAACTTTCCCAATTAGAAGAGAGGTCACCGCCGGAAATTAAGACTATCACCAGCAAAATTATAAATACAATGCATGTACAGTCAGAGACAGTCGCTGCTAACGTTTGGATTTATTCTCCCCCAGCTTTCTGTGGTTGAATATGGTTTGTTCCCACCAAAATGCATGCTGAGGCCTGGTTCCCCCAGCAGCAGTGTTGGGGGTGGGGCCTGGCAGGAGGTACTGAGTCACAGGGACAGGGCTCTTATGAATGGATTTATGCCTTCCTGTCTGAGTGAGTTCTAGCTCTAGTTGGGAGTGGATCAATCACGCCACAGTGGCTTGTTATAAAGCGAGTTTTGCTTTCCCTGGCTCTCACTTCTGCACATGCTGCCTGTCCTTCTGCCATGGAGCCCTCATCAGGAACTGAGCAGATGCCTCCACCATGCACTTGGACTTCCCAGACCCCAGAATCATGAGCCAAAATAAACTTTTCTTTCTAAATTACCCAGTCTTGAGAATTCTGTTACAACAAAAAAATGAACTAAGAGGCTATTTAGTATTTCACAGAACAGATGAGCAGCAATGTGCAATTTACCTACTTTTCTTATGAAATGGTCCTCTTTTTTTTGGGGGGGGGGGTACTAGGGATTGAACTTGGGGGTACTCGACCACTGAGCCACATCCCCAATCCTATTTTGTATTTTAATTAGAGATAGGGTCTCACTGAGTTGCTTAGCGCCTCACTTTTTGCTGAAGCTGGCTTTGAACTCATGATCCTCCCCTCAGCCTCCTGAGCCTCTGGGATTACAGGCATGTGCCACCGTGCCTGGGGGGTCATCTTTTTCTTGTCGATTTCAAAAAACTCTTTCTATTTGATGAATTAAAATACTATATAAGTTAATTCTTGAATAGGCAATATATTCTTAAGACTTTAAAAAATATAAACCTGTAGAGCAGGTTTACTTACTATACTCTTATATGCCCTTCATGTACATTCAAACCACCACAGGTAACCAATATTCCTGATTTTGAGGGTGTCCTTGCTCCTGGTATTTCTTTGGCACATAAAAGCAAATGTTAGGGCAACCCCTATCAGGTCCCATCTTGCCCTGCAGGAACTCACTCTTTTCTTCTCAGTTGAATAAGTCCTACTCAAAATAAAAGCAGATGTTAACTTATATTTTTCTTCTCTCCTTTTATTTTTACCCAAAAGGCAGTGTTTAATAAAAAAAAAAAAAAATTACATGTCATCTCACCATATAGATGCATTCATACATTCTAACTTCATTTTTTTTTTTTCTGGGTACCAGGAATTGAACTCAGGGCACTCGACCATTGAGCCACATCCCCAGCCCTATTTTGTATTTTATTTAGAGACAGGGTCTCATTGAGTTGCTTAGTGCTCGCTTTTGCTGAGGGTGGCTTTGAACTCTCCATCCTCCTGTCTCAGCCTCTCAAGCTGCTGGGATTACGGGCATGTGCCACTGCAACCAGCAGAGGATCAGGTTTTTTTGAGTTAATAAAAAAGAAGAGTTAGAAACTCTAAGACTCTAAGAGTTGTTTAGCGCCTCACTGAGTTGCTAAGGCTAGCTATGAACTCTTGATCCTTCTGTCTCAGCCTCCCCAGCCTCTGGAATTATAGGGGTGTGCCACTATGCCCAGCTGCATTCTAACTTCTTAAATCAGCTTCTACAAATGGACATGTAGGTTCAACAAGTTATTTAAAAAAAATTATAAAAATCAGCTGGGCGCAATGGCACATACCTGTAATCCCAGTGACCCTGGAGGCTGAGGTAAGAGGATCAAAAGTTTGAAACTAGCCTAAGCAACTTAAGGAGACCCTGTCTCAAAAGAATAAAAAGTGGGGGTGACTGGGGGCATTGCTCAGTGGTAAAGCACCCCTGGGTTTAATTCCTGATACCAAAAAGAATAAAAAATTAAAAAAAAAAAAAAAAGGCTAGACATGTAACTTAGTGGTAGAGCATGCCTGGGTTCAATTACCAGTACACACACACATACATACATAAGTCATTTTGATTAGTTCTTAAGAAAAAAAAAAGAAGAAGAAAGGGGCTGGGGATGTGGCTCAAGCGGTAGCGCGCTCGCCTGGCATGCGTGCGGCCTGGGTTCGATCCTCAGCACCACATACAAACAAAGATGTTGTGTCTGCCGAAAACTGAAAAAAATAAATATTAAAAATTAAAAAAAAAAGAATTCAAAAAAAAAAAAGAAGAAAAAAACCAGAACTTGTTAAAGTCAGGAAGCCCGGACTGAGAGCACAACTCTACAGACCAGTGGGAGTGCTTATCTAGCATGCTCAAGGCCCTGTTCCCATCCCTAGCACCACAAAATGAACAAATGAATAAAAAAATTAAGAGCACCTTTGGGAGATAATTTATTTTATTGGTCATCACAAGGAATCAGCTTTTCTAAGTTGTTCCTTTTTTTGAAGTTCTCAATTTGTTTACTTTGTCTTCATTATTTTCTTTTTCCTTTTAATGTACTGCTCTTCCTAATTTTGCAAAATCAATAGTTTACTTTTAGTATATCTTTTTAATACCTAAGGCATTTGTTTATAATTTTTTCTGAATACAACCTTCTGAGTTAGAAGTAAAGCATGCTTCTTTTCAGCTTTATTTAACCCTTTGCCAAAGAGGAAAAATATCAGAGGCTCTGGAAGAAAAACTTTTTGTGCAACTGTTAAGGGGTCCTCCAAAGGACCATAAGTTGAAAGCTTGGTTCTCTGGCTGGTGGCCCTACTGAGAGGTGGTGGAAACTTCAGGAGTTGGGGTCTAGTTAGAGGAAGGAGGTCATTGGGGCTGTGCCCCTGCAGGGAATACTGGGATTCTAGCTCCTCTTCCTCTCTCTCTCCTCCTGGCTACCTTGAGGTGAGAAGTTTCCTCCACCAACACTTCTGCCAGGATGTACCCTGCTGCCACAGACCCAAAGACAGGGCCAAGTGACCATAGACTGAAACCTCTGCAATCAATTTCCTACTTCTGTGTGGTTTATCTCAGGTATTCTGTCACAGGGATGGAAAGATAACACAAACCAGTTTGAGGACCCAAAGGATGATGCTTTCAAGGCAGTATGGGCAGGAAGGGCATGTGAAAGTGACAGCGGCAGACAGTTCTGGGATATTTCAGAAATGTTCTGATGTCATGCGGACAGCACTGTCCAAAGCTTGAGGGGGTCAGGGAGAAAACTCAGTGGACAGGAGTTGTCCCATGTTTGGCCATGTCACCTGCAATGCCAGCAGAGTAGGCACGAAGCACAGGTGCTGAATAAATGAAAGGTGACCTTCCCAGTTTGCACCCGCATGGTAAAGGCTACTTTCCCAAATAAATCAAGCAAAAGGAAAATGACAGGGGCTCGGGCTGAATTTGATGTCTCCAAAGCAGCAAAGAAAGGAAGGACTAGCGAAGAACATGGGCCCTGAAGTAGGCCAGGACGAACGCCAGCTCCGTCAGATGAAGCCATTTCCGAGATTCCTAACCTGCTTCCTCATTAGTAACATGGGGGTAATCACAGGGCTGTGAGGACCATGTGAGATGATCCACATACGATTGTGAGCACAGTGTGTGACCATGGAGGAGCAGGCGGTCATCTGCAGCGAGTGCACCCCGCTAAGAGCACAAGCTGCTCTGGGCTTCTTGGTGCTCCGGCTGGGATCCAAGGCCCAACGTCACCTGGGTAAAACCGACCTGC